CGAGGGATTTGGTTTGCCAACGACGGTTAAGGTTGCCTTGCATAGGGAACCCGGGTTTTTGGTTGGCGAGCAACGACATGATTCATCTAGCAAGGCAAACTAAGGCACGGCAACAATCTACCCTACTACAGGTCTACCTGGAAGCGCTGGCATCACTTTGATTCTCCCACATGTGCGCGTGTGTCTTTGGAGGGTACCGTTCTTTAGGGTAGATTTAAAGGGCACCCAAGTGGAAAATCAGCATATTGAGGTCCACCTATGACACATACCCGCATGGTTACGTGAGTTCCCACGGTCGAGTCTTCCGGACGCCGGGCCGGCGGCCGGCAGGATGTGGTGATCACCTCGCAGTTCGGAGCGCTCAGCAAAGACTGGCCTCAGGCACGGGGATCGAAGGGAAACCTGAGGCCAGTGGACACACTTTACATCGTTCCACTGTTTGATTACAAGATAGACTCAAACCCAGCTGCTTTACACCTTTTTTTCTTGGTGGCTCTCCATTTTTTTAGCGGTCCCAAAAGTGTCGACTTTGTTTTGACTAGTGGCTGGCCAAGTGAGGTTTAAATGGCATCGGGATGAATTTCATGGCATAGTGCATTGTGCCAATGGTTTACAACATCTTAGGCATGAGGATCATATGGCTATGATTCCAGTGGCGCTCTGGCTGGTGGACATGAATCTTTTGTGTCAAAATTGGACCCCCCCAACGAATGGTTTTCGTTTTGGTTTCCCTTTACACAAAACTCAAGAGGGTACTCTCAACAAACACACCCATAGAGTGCCTGATTACTTTGCTTGCTGCTTTCTTGAGTACTTTGTTGCTTGCTTGTTTGCATGCTTCCTAGCCGGATGCCGGCAGATGCATAGCTGGATTTTTTCTGCGGGTACTGAATGGGGTGTCAAAGGAGCGATTCCACCCATGGTGCGTCCGCTGCGCAGGGAAATCTCCTATTTGCCAGGTGAAGACAGCCACGAGGTGATTCCAATCACCACCATGACACCAACGGAAGCTGCCAGCTAAAACAGCAGTTGATCGCTTTGGCAATGTCCTTTGCCGAATTGAAGGTTGCCCGGCCGGCAATTGGTTATGATCTACAAAACTCAAGTCTTGACAATTCAAGGTTGTACGGCTTGCCTTGGAATCATTGGGCAACTACTACCCTCCCAAACCGCCAGAAAACCAGCTTGGCCAACAGCGGTTCCGAGTTTAGAGGCTGTTGAACCCGCCGCACCTGGTTGTGCGCATACTCTCGTACTGTCTGCATAGTGGGGTTCCCATTGCAGGTAAGCCAATGGTGACTCTTTCATTTGGGCCCCTTTTCCTTCCCCATCCAACAACAGTGGACGGCAAAAAGATGAACCGTCGCAAACAGGGTTTCCCAAAGCGCGGTGACCATCACCCTCCGGCTCACTCACATAGAAGCTGACAGAAGGTTCCTGCAATTCAACATGGTCTTCCAGGGTTCGGTACTTGGGTTCGTATCTTTCTGGGAGGGATGGTAGTGGATTTGGGCAGTGTCCACGCTATAGCTGCCCGGCCACTGTCACTGAGCTGGGCTTGTTTGGGCGCGCCAGGTCATGCTGAAGCTTAGTATCTACACCGCAGGCCCCTTGGCAGTCGCACAGCTCGCCAAGGCTGTTGTTTGGAATGGCTTGCGCTGTAGAGAAGATCTGAGTTTGGGGTACACAGCTTCTTGTCCCACCCTTGCCCCTGACTTCGCCTTCGATCAAGTGTTTTGACTATGACCTGCCGCAGTGGATTGGCTGCAACATTTGGGAGAGGTAGATGGGCGGCCTGTTGCGAGCTACATGCGAAACCGCCCAACGCCGGGCCTACGGAACCCGTTGAGCTTTTGCAATGGGAACCCAGGATGAATCAAATTCTTGGCTGATTGATTAGCTGGTGTCCCCCCCCATGTTCGAGGCGAAACTTCTCTTGGACCCACCCATTCATGTCAGGTTGCAAAATTCATCCTGGGTCTCCATGACCCGGTGATCAGGCCCGAAAGTGCCCTCCCTTCTACTTGTCACAGTCTCAAGGCATGCCTGAAACCAACCAATTACCCATTGCCAGTGCTTCCGAAAAGGGCGCCCTCACGCCGGGTTCCTGCCAATTCTGCCAATTTCAAGCAATCAAATTGGAGGCCCAAGTTTTAAGGATCCCGCTGTTTAGTACCTGTGAAGCCACAAGCAGGGTTTGCTTTACCCACGGTGGACTTTCCAAGCGTGGCGAGTCAGGAATAAGGACAAACCCGTACTTCTCCATAATTTCTGCTCCGCTTACTTGCGATGCTTAGAGAGTCGTGGGAACTTATTGGCCTGCCACTTCACTGGTTGGCAAAGGTTATCCCGCTGCCTTTTTCGGCAAGGCTTCCTCTTTGAAATCACCCGACCAGATCAGGGGAACACTAGCTGCTTTTCTGCTATTCCCTGTTGCGTTGGTAACCAAAATTACAGGGAATATATGGGGTACATCCCCAGGAGCCACCTTTCTGTCGGCCCAGTCATCCAAGTTTGTTGTAAAAGGGGAGATTTCATATATTTCATTTTGTTGGACCTTTTGGTGACCCCACAACAAGGGTTGCTGAAAGGATACATTTCGGCATGTTGAAGTAGCGCATTTACCAGCTATTTGTTTGGATGTGTCTGTTTGGGATCCATGTATGGGGAATCCCTTTGCAAATTCGGTGTTTTCCCTCTTGGAACCCTGCCAGGGAAATGAATCTACCCCCAAACTCATGTAAGTGATGCCCACCAAATGCCCAACTAAATTTCATCACAGCACGTCACTCGGAGCACCGGGGTAACGCTCCCTGCTGGTCCCGAGGAGTTTCAGAGGCCAGGGCCACGCCGGCCATGGACGCTTTCGATGGCAATCCCCCGGCTCCTTGGGCGTGTCAAAAGAGACGCGAGAGAGAGAGAGAGAGAGAGGGAGGGTGCACAGACCTCGCTTTTTTTTGGGGTGTGTGTATTCGTGTGGTGGGTTGCAGATTTGTTTTTGGTTGGCCGGTTGGTTGGTCGGACGGTCGCCTTTTTGTGTGCTTGCTTGCTCGCTGGTGGTCGTTGTGCTTCTTTGTTTGCATGCTCGCTTGCGTTGTTTATTCTATTGTTCGTTTTGCTTGCCTGAGTGAGGCAGAATAGACCTTGTAAAGGAAAGTGTCAGCAATGATTATTTCCCGCATGCAAAGGCCATCTCTTGGATAACACACTCTCATTCACTTTCCTTTTCCTTCCACACTCTTCTCTCTGTCCCTCGGCTCAGGGTCGCTTCGGGAATGAACTAGCTCGTACGGAAAGGACTTCAAGGAAGAGAGGAAATGCATGGATTCTTCTTTGTATCGCGCTCGAAGCCAAAACCCAGCATATGATGGCAACTAATACCACTTCACTAACTTTCCAGTCCATCCAAGCAACAGTCCACATTGAACATGACCGCAGCTTTCCGGAAGACTTCGGAGCTCCATGTCAGTTGACGCTGTTCCGTGCTTTTTGCAAAGTTCAGGGTTTCAACGGGGAACCACGTGACTCCAAATCCAAAGCAAGGTCAATAAGCACCTGTCATTCACAGGTGTTTCCTTCCTGACTCCTCCCTGGTCCTCGCAACCTGCTCCCTTGTAAGGGCAAGAAGCGCAAGCTGGCTGAGTGAGAGCGCCCCCGATCGCGCGGGCCGCGCAGAATTCGTCGCACGGTTTAGGCGCCTCGCGCAATGTGTAAATACGCGATATGTGGCCCCACTTGCCTAGCGGCAGGCCCCGTGTAAGGAAAACCCACCGAAAACGATCGGGGCCATTTTTTTCATGGCCACTAGGCAAAGGCCAGAGGCAGAACTGATCTCTGCCATTGAACCCCAACTAGTGAAGAGGCAATAGTATCGTTCCAATGCTGCATTACAATTAGCCAACAGTACTATTACTAAACCAAGTCTACAACCTCAATCGTATAAGGGGGCACTTTCGAACAAATACTAATATAAATATAGAATCGGTACGAAACCGATACTAAGCCCCATATCCGACCAAATGACATTGACTTCTGCTGCTGAATTACCGTCTCAGATATTTCTGTTTTGAGAGCGAATTTGGCCCCTTGTAGACGAGGACCGCATAGCGACCCTTTGGTAGTTTGGCTTGGTTGTTTGGCGATTTGAGCCAGTTCTTGCAGAGGGAAATTGAATGGGAAACCACCTACGCTCCAAACCGCGAATCCAAACCACCGATTGGAGGGACGCTGACGTTCCCCGCGTTTGGACCTCAGATGTCTCGGCGGATCAGATCAGCTCGCGCGGCGCAACGGGACGTTGTGCGTTGTGCGGCAGAAAAGGTGACTGAGCCAAGGAATCCAATGATTTCAGCTACTCAAATCAACATGGAACCTAAGAAAGCCGGGCCAAAAGGAGATGACTCCAAAACTGATGGTTTTGCGCTTTTGAGGCAAATCTGCAGGGGGAGTACCATTATGGTGGGTAAGGGGAAGCACCCTTTGCAATGTGGAAGTTGGTGAAACGTCTAATTGCTCAAGATGTGACTGGAATCACCAGGGTAGTGGCAACATGGGAGCCACGAAATTAAGTTATGACAATGGGGCATGTTGAGCTCGAACTGGTATTTGAGAGACAAGCTCAAATAGCTTAGTAAGCACATGGGTCAACCGTAGGATCTGACCTTATAAAATGGGGTGTGTGAAAGGACAATTACTTGAAGCTGATCATTTGGATGTGGTCCCTACACTCGCCTACCTGCCATTCCCGTAGCTGGAACCGGCGACTACTGTCGCTGACATCTTGTCTTCAGGTCAGGGATATATATATATATATATATATACGTTTGTGCATATGCGTCTTACTTGCAGCATGGATCTTCGGAAAGGGGTTGGCGCAATGGATATTTCTCAACCGATAGGCCGATAGGTGTTTGGGCTGTACGATAATTTGCAGAAATATCATGTGACCCTATATACCTACAAGAAGTTTCTCACGAGCTTGGAAGCCAGACAACTCGCAGGCCACGTTTCGCTGAACGATTTGGATCCGCAGTCGGTGCAGGCGGGTTGAGCAACTCGCTCGGGGAGCAGTTCTGGGGCCCAACGCCTCGTGTAGGGCATAGCTGTCAAAAAGTTGGTGCTTTCAAGCCATTGTCCAGTGGTTCCAGTGAAACAAGGAACAGCAAGCGAGTGAAACTGCACAACACAAGTGTGTTAATCTTTAGGTTTCACATGATGGTATCTCTGGTTTCCCACAGTAGCAAATTCACTGAAAGCAAAGCAGATAAAGCAAGCTGTACCCAAAACTGCTTGTGCTTGTATTCTGTTCAATCCGTGGCAAGGTGGGCATGTGGATCTTCATGTACTTTATGCAAACAGCGAAAGGTCCTTTCTGGGTTTGTTCGATGGCCAGGTGCTCTGGGAGTTCCGGGCCTTCCTGCTGGCCGGGGACCTGGCACCGGCAGTTGGTGGGGCATGGGTGGGTTCTTTGGTTCGTTCGAGTTCTTGGTTCCAACGACTTAGCTTATGTTTTTTTCATGGAAACCATACACAACTAGGGAAGGTGTAGATTAGCCACTTCTTGTTTTTTTTTTTTTTTTTTTTTTCACACGAGTTTGACATGCGGTTTTCGCTTGGGTACCTAGATGCTTCCAAGTTCTCGCTGTATTTTCTCTTTGCCAGTGCTTGCAACAATCACCTTTTGGTTGCCAGAGTTTCTTTTTGGACATGAAGATACCCTGCTTGCCTGGACTCAAAACATGTTTACCGTTCCTACGTTTGATTCGCATGGTGGATTTATCCGTGACAATGTGACCAAGCACAGCAGATAGCCACTGAACTTGTCCTTGTTCATACATTTTAGTTGCATTGAAGGCGATCCACTTTAGATCACGCTGGAAAACCAAATGCGATACCTCCTCACAGAAACATGTTCCCAGGGAAACGGCTGGACCTTCGGGGTTGAAGGCCAAAGTCACAAGCTAAATGGCCGACGCGAATCAGGAATGATTTGATCTTAGGGTGGTCGGTGTTCATAGTGTTAGCAAGATTTCCACTCAGGGGCAAAACAAGCTCACCCCATAGTGATTGCCCCTTGCTCGCGGATTCCATACGTCTGGTTTGAACATCTCGGTAGAAGGTAGCCAGCTTCTGGGTTTCCCTTTCCGACAACAGCAACACCGGGGGGGGGTTCGCTGAACTGGGCGTCAGTCAACTGAACGCTCGTTGAGACAAACTGCCTATATCCCGTAGAAATGTTTTGAGAAGTCGGAACCCTTCTAAGATCTAAGACGACCTTTTCCACCAACCCCTGCTTTCTTTGTACGAAGCTCTAAGAACCCCAGATGTTAGGATATGTGGGTCAGGCAAAAGTTGAAGGATCAGCTGATTACTAGCTGATTTGGAGGATCTAACCTAAAGCAGGTTTCTTTTGGGATTGGGCGTGGGGGGAATGCATTTTGTGGAGCCAGCCTTTGGTTTTTGCAGGAGACCTACGGGGACATCATGACTGCCTGGCACCATGGCCTTGATCCCAAGAAACGGGGCAAGCTGGAGGACCGGTTCTGGAAAGATGGAAGGCAGGTGTGGTGTGTCCTAAGAAGGCGGGGGTGGTGTAAAAAGGAAACCAAGGGCAACACACACATTTCAGGATTCCATATCCCATTTTCGCGATACACCCCCAAGTGAGTACACGAATTCCAAGTTGGATGTGTGGTAGGATGGTTGATTCGGTTTGTCTAGTCCAGCCCAGATGGTGCCAATCTCTTATATGGGTGTGTGTGAAAAACGCGGACAGCAAATCCTGTTGATTCCCTTCAACATTTCCCACAATTGGCACCCTCAAAAGTCAACAGAGACACGCACGGCACGGCACGAGCACGGCGCGGCACGGCACGGCACGGCACGGCACGTCTGTTTGGAGGGTACCCGTTTCACCTTGGTTGACAAGTTGACACCTACCCACTGTATCTGTTTCCTTTGGGCAAAGGGAAAAGCTCTGACTTGAACCTCCGCTCTGCTAGCGCCTTTCTGCGGCTCCAAGCTGGCAGGAATGACGGTCACTCCTTGAGCTTTTTTCAGACCCGGGATCTCAGTTGCAAAAAACAATGTGCACCATTGCTCAATGAGGATTTCCCTAAGTATGAACCATAAAGAGAAGTTATATTTTTGGGTTGGGAGGGCTGAGGTATTTGAGGTGTCCCTTCTGAGTCGCTCACCAGGCCGCCTGCTTGGGACGGCCGGCACTGCAACATACTCCTGGGAACTAAAAGCCCGACTGATTTCTATTGCTCCGCAAGGAAACCACGCAAACGGCAAGGGGTGTTGGACTCTCTCGCCCACTGTTGCCAACCATGCCTACTTAGGATTAGTCGTCCCCTGATTGGGTGCCAGATTGGGAGGTGTCCGATTTAGGAGGGAATCCAAATCATGTTTTGGGGCAAACGCTCCTGGTTCATCCACCAGGTTGATAAAGCCGGGGTTCCCCGTTGTTGAATGTTCTTGACCTCGCAATTTTCTTCCAGGAGGAGGACTTCCTGAAAGCCATGAAAGACATGGGCTATGAGGCGCCGTTTCTGGGGGGGGGTGTATTTTGGTGCCGCCATCATTTTGACCCCCTTCCTTATGTCTGAATCTGCATTCCCATGTGTTTTATCTTTGTTGCGTTTGTTTTCGATTCATTTTTTGTTTGTTCAGTTCATGCTATCTTCTAATGTTATTGCCTGCGTTTGTGATGTTCTTGTTTATTTGCTTTCTGTGTTCAGTATGAGTTCTGTTGTTTACTGCGTTATTTTGCTTGCCTTTATCTTCCTTTGGCCCGTGCCTTTGCAATACGCAATTGCATCCGTGCATGTTGTACGATCATGTTTGATCATTTGTGCGAATTATTATTTGGTCTGCGATGCAAACCACGACAACCAGAATGGCAACTGCTGGGCAACAAGTGCCAGCCGGCCCTACATCTCGTTGTGTTCATAGGATCCCGCCCCCCCCCCCCCCCTTTTTAAACTGGAGTTGCCGGACGGGCCATATCTGGCTATTTGCACTCGACCCTTTCTAAAGGCTCAGTCCATGGCTATCAGACAATGATCTTGTGATTCCAGCAAAGAAGGCAAGAGCAGGCTCGAGCCCCAAAATGAGTGGTTTCGTCAGGTTTAATTCCAACGCAAGCCCAAAAGGGGTACCCTCGACAAAACGCTGCTCAGGTACGGTAAAACTTTGTGCGGGGTTAACTAGCCAGCCATTTATCTACTCGCCTCCCAACAAAGATGGAAGTGCGAAGGGCCCGTCCGAGTCCGGAGCAGCTCAAAGGGAGGGTACCGGAAGGGTTCCAGGGATGCTGCTGGGGATGCGGCCTCCGCTTATTAAGTTATCGATGGCCAGCGCAATCGCTGGCAATCGCACCAGGGCTTGCCCACGCTCTTGAGGGCTTTCCGAGGTATCGAAGCGGAGTGTGGAATGCCACTGGCCTCTGGGGTGGTAAGGATTCACTGAAGTTACGTTTGGTTTCATCTACGGTGCCATGCAACTGGGTCCATTCAGCGGACATCCTCCAAATTACCCTGGAAATGGTCATTCAACTGAAAACAACCCCCAATATCCTAAAAAATGTGTTTGTTTTAGGAAGCTCCCCACTTTAATGCTTGGTACCCTTGGTCATTTTAAAGGAACTCCAAAGGAAAGCTGAAACCCTTTTTGTAGGGCTCCCCCATTCATTCACAGACCAAGGATTTGCCGGCCTTCCACTTGCGTCGGGGTTACACACCGATCCAACGTAGGGCCGTCGAAAATCAACCAAAGCTGGCAAAGTGCTGTTTGTTTGAAGGAGGCAGGTGTGCTTGGGGCGTTGTAACGGGAACAGATCCATGACAACCAGAACCCCAGTAGAAAAGGCAGTGTCAACGCTCAAAGTCTGCTAGCCCCACCCGTCCAGGGCAACGCCAAGAAGCTCTTCTCGCTGCTCTTGGCTGAGCCGCCCCTCGTCAAAAACTTGGAACTCGATCGGAATATGTTGTCTTACTGGTGCGATTGGCAGGGAATGAGAGAATGACCCCTGTAAACCATCCCTTGTAGTTTCCTTTAAGGGAATCCCTAGGTTCATTTCCACATTCCCACATTCCCTACTGAGCACCAGCAAGTTGTGAAGCGACCGGATGGGCAGGGAAGGTTCCGCCGATTTCACGGGTAAAATGTTCAAAGGGAGTACACATTTGCCTCAGTGCCTTACAAAAGGACCCATGAAACCAATGAGCTTAGGATCTATTTGGGGTGGAACAACATTTGGAATGGTCCTTCCCCCAGGAGATTTCTCTAATGGCGTTTGTTTGGCTTTAATGTCAACTTGCAGAGAAAAAAACACATTCGTTTTCGAAAGAGCATGCCTCTTCGGGTGTTGGCTTCAAGGAAGTTCAACATTTTTTCTTGGGTTGACACAACCTATGAAATACTAGGATACGGCACCACCAATTGGTGCTTGGTGGGTTTGTGTTCATCAGACTTCATGTCGGACACCCCGTTGGTTCCTGTACAACCCGCATTTCTACCCTGATGGTGCCGCTGCAGCAGCCCCGTACTCCAAGGGGATCCTCTTTGTGATTGAATGTCATGGGAAACCCCCACGGTATCAGTGTAGTCATTTGAAAGGATTGCGCAGGCACCGGAAGTACATTCTGCTCCGAGACATCGACCCCAAGGCGGCGGATGCGCGGAGCCCCGGAGCCGATCGGATCGGATCTGGTCCAGGCTCAATGCAGCACGGCGATCCATGTCCTTTGGCTTCAACTAAATTTAACCCGTCCAGTGGTGTCTTCCTTTGTTTTGAAGACACTAAACATTGTAGTTTGGGCAGGTGTCAGAATAGGGCAGACCCTCAAGTGGCGATTTTCCTTTTGGTTTCCCTTTCGGCCAATGAAAAGGGCACCAACTTGGATAACACCAGCTGAAACCCATTTGGCCATGGGTCAAATTCCCGTACCCCCAATGAACATCCCAATCCCCACTAAAATAGGTTCTTAAATGGGTGGTGAATTCACCTACCAACCAAAATGGGATCCCATTGATTGTGACCCACCGCCATTTTGCCAGCTAAAAGCTGAAGTAAAATGTCCAAGGCCTTCTTCCGCGGCGACGACAGGGCCCTGACGCTCTATGGCACACGAAGCCCGGAGCCCCAGGGGGCAACCAACCAGCGGGCGACCAGGCCTTGGTAGCACTGACAAGGGAAGCCCAAAAAAGGGCAGAGTATTCAAGCAATGGGTGTTTAAACAGGGGGTTGGCCCACCCCTGCAACAAACCCTGTCATTTTTTCTGGTGATCCCTACAATCTGGTCCGCCCCTTGTACACTGAGAACCAGTGCCGAGTGCTGAGCCCACTGAAAAACACTCCCCGAACTGAAACGACCAGGCCCCTTGAGGAAAATGGTCTTGCAGGGACTTGTCAGGTTCCATGTCACGCAAAGGATGAAGACGAGTGTTTCAAACGTCCAAAGACCTTGGAGCAGGATTTGCCTGTGTCAGTGGTTTACGCTACTTGCTACAGAGGTTACTCCCTAAGAAAAACTGGGAAACCCAACCTAGCCACAGCGTAATCCCGTTTTGGGATCATTGTGAACATTCCCAAGGCCACGGCTTATGGGGGCTTCCTTATGTACCGCGTCAAGTGGAGTTCAGCAGTATGAGTCTGTGATTTGTCCAAGATGGAGCAGAGCAAGCTGGAAGCACACGACATCCAGACGAGTTCACCTCTCCCGGTGCACATGCGCAAAGGCAAAGCGAACCTGCCGGTTGGATATGCCAACTGAATGTAATCACAGTTGTGCAGTGTCACCTTGGTTTTAACATGTCTTCGGGGGTGAGTTTCCTCAGCAACACACACACACACGCACATAATAAGTGTCCTCCTTCTTATGATCATCGGGCAAGTGACAGTTTATACACCCATGATCAAGATCAAACAATCACCAAACAGACTTCCAATCACTGAGGCTGCCAAACATATCTAAACTCCAGTGGGTTCTTGTGAGTCATGTATCAAAGGGCTCCTTCCTTTAGAATATGCTGGGACTGAGTCAGATGTCGGAATTGTTACTACCCATGCTGACCCATGCACAAATACAAGTCGAGTCAAGCCTGCTGTTCATTTGCCCAGTGTTGACAGAAACACAACATGTTGTGTATGTGTGTACGCACATTGACACATGCATGCATTTGATATTATGCTAGCATACATGTTACAGTTGTAGTTACATTTCCACAAATAAGCAAGGTATCTCCAGCATGTGCTTGCCAAAACATGTATATGTACGCATGCAGACGTGCGTAGGCTACCACTTGGCCCGGACCGCCCCCCAACGGGAGCGGGCAGCGGGCCCGTGGGATCCGTGGGATCCGTGGGATCCGTCAGCGGGGATCCGGCGCAAGGCGGCCCTTCGGCTTCTCCGAGCAAGTGGACAGGAGCGAGTCTGAAAACATGGCCAGCCAGAGCTCGGACCCATTCAACGGGTTCGCAGAAACGAGCTCCGATCGCTTCTCAATGTGCGTGGCGTCCGCAAGGTACCTTTGGCGAAACCTATGTAGGGGTACTCATCTAGCAGGATGAGCCACAGCAGCCTAGTTTTGACTGTTGAGGCGCTAAGTAAAATAAAAATAAAAATCTGACCTTCCTGTGGCTCGCCATGCTGTCGCTCTGAATCCGTATTGAAGCCATGCATCCTCAACATGGTTGTGGAAACGGGGGCAGGTCAGATTGCCCTTTTGTTGATATCAAGGGAACCCAATTAATACAGTAGCCATTGCGCTGGGATTTCCACTTCGGTCACAGGAAGGGGCCTTCAACGCGCATCCTCAACGAACTTGAAGAGTTGTCTCCATATTTGGAATCATGTCCTGTGTGCAATCTGCAAAGGGCGCACATCCTCCTGTTGATCGTTCTTACTCACCCGTGTCTGACAAGTGCCTGACATACGCGAGATCTCCAGAGGCCACGGTCAGAAGTTCAAGTCTTTGTATGTTGCTTGAATTGCGTGGTCCACCCGAACAAGGAACCAAGACGGGAAGGGCACACTTGGGGGGTGAGGGACCCGAAGACAACCGGATACATCATCATTGTTCAAGTCGGTTGTATATGGTAGCGTATTCCGTCTCGCCCAAATAAAGTGTGTGATGTGTGTGTGTGTGTGGTCGTTGAGGTTGTCACAGTGTTATTTGACACTTGCCAGTTCATTCAACGTCGCCCCAAATCTGCACAAATTTGAGTCAAATGCGCTGTCAGGGGTCAGCTGGTGCTCCCTCGCACCACAGTTTTCTATCGACTGACTTTTCATCAACACAGCCACACGGCTGTTCATTTGATGCTAGGAACCAATAGTTGGCCCATTCAGATCAAAAGTTGGGAGTATTCGAGTTTGAAATATTAATCAAAATAGGACAGACCTGTTATTTGGACACATTGTGGTCGACATATTAATGGTTGGACATTGGGTATCGATATGGGTATGTGTCAAAATAGGTCTCAAACAAGCACACCCCCATGGTGAGATGGTGAACCCGTTGGTTGCGGCAGGAAAGTTGCAGAGCCCAAAGAACGGCGAGAATGATTTGGAGGCACACGCTGAGGAGAACGTGCCTTTTTCAGACCTCCGGTTTTGCCCTTTCTGTTGCAAGATGTTTTTCCTTAAAACCCACACTCCCTGAGTTCCTGGACTTTATGCTTGGGAAGACCATGTTGTTGGCATGCAAGCAGTTTGGGCATTAGTTTGGCCCGTAAAGTCAGGAAATGAGAATAAACTGCAACTGAAAGTCTATGTTTCGGGCTTGCGATATGATCATTCCTTAGTTGTTGGTAATAGGATCATGCTACACATGGATTCTCACTGAAAGAAGGACAGTGACCAGATTCGTTGCAATTAGAGCTTGACCATGGCACACGAACACACACGCGCAGACACATAAGTGTATGTGTGCGTGTGTGTGTCAAGCCCGAAAGGGTACTCTCAGCAAGACACACATATTATGTGTATTATATATACCAAGGGATATATATATATACATACATGGCTTTTCAGTTGCCCCGCCACTATCACGGACACTAAAACCTACCTCAAGGAACATCTCAGGATGCCTGGTAGAATCCCTCCATCGGTCTCCGTAACTTGTACGATTCCGTATGGCCACCACAACGGTGTTGCAAGCGTTTGGGGGTACCCCTATTCACTCAATTCTCAGCAGTTTTTAACAAATCACCCTCCAACGGAATTTGTGGGGTCCGCTTCCGGAGGTTCCAATGCAAGAATACCTTCCTACAAAGGATCCCTCGTGTTAGTGGTGGGGGGATACCCCTACAGGAGTCCTCGTGTTTGTTCCACGTTGGTGTTTGCGGGGACACCACTAAAGGAGCCCACGCAAAATCAACGATCCGGAAACGATGCTTGATTTCGCTGTCTAATTCCCCTACTTGGAAATCGCGGAATTGCACGATTTCTGGGGGAGCCAATGTAGACTCTGACAAGGACCAACGAGCACCGAAGGGCTTGTTTCTAATCACTACCCCGCATTACCACATTAACTACCTGCTTGCAAAAAAAGAAAGAAGCTGACTAAGCAAACAAGCACTTCTCACCGGGCTCCTTTTGGCAGCCTGAGAGACACGCGCAGGGCACGCCCCGCAGCGTTGGGGAGAGCAGTCCCAAGCTGGCGGTGCCGAGCAGTCCTTCCAAGAGGCCATGGGGGAAACTACCCTAGCCCTTTTTGGTTTCCTTCGGGTAGGTTTGCCCGAACTCAACCAGCAAATTGTCCGAATTTGCAGACTTAAGTCACCTTTTCACCTTGTTGCCAACGTTCCTGTTTTCCCCTTTGGTCACTAGCAAACAGTTCAGTATTTTCAACAAGTCAAAGATTGGGCCAGCAGTGGAGTCCACCCTTCTTGTTTCCTTGGGTGGGCTTCCATACATTTACCAACAAGCAACGGTAAACCTGGCTCTCTTGATGTGAACATATTCAGGTGTTCTGGGTGCTTTCCCTTTAAACACATCCAGTGGGCTGGTGGTACTGTGCATCCAAGTTGGGGTTGTGAGACGCCTCTTGGGTTTGACGGCATTGTAATTCTCCCGAGACATTGCCATGCATCACAGTGCTTCCTGCCTCCAATTTGGGTAACCAAGTGTTGATTGCCTGGTAATCTTCCGCGATGGCAACCGAACGCCCTTTGTCATCTAAAGCCTAAGTTGAGACCGGGTCATATGCCAATCAAGTGGTGTCAACCGCCAGGTAGTGTCATTGGGAAGCAACAGCACCCATGTTGAAGCGGAATGGCTAACGCTTCAAGTCATGTCAGTTTGTTCCTGATGCAGATAGCAGGTCGAGACATGCGCAAAACTGAAATCAAGAGCCTTTGGCTGTCTTACACGGCAGATTGGATTCCTTGGATACGGGCCTTGCCGAGCAGGAACTGCTCGTATGAGTCAATATGGTATGAGAGAGCTCCGGCCTCCCCAGGCTAGCCCCAGTGAAATCCCAGCTACCCCCGAGTTAACCCGTGGTCAGCCCTGGCTACTTCAATGCTAATCCCTTGTTGTGTTCCAGATAGAATAATGTAGCTGTATAAAGCCAGGCCCTGAATAACCAATGACCTCTACCCGATGGAGCAAGCGAACAGCGAACAGGGTGAACACAATCTTTGGCCGGAAGCATCCTTTCCTGGAGGTAAACATCATTGGAGGCTGCGTGGTCCATGATACTTCGCAAGTCAGTGGGCTGCTTTGGCCAAGGCAAAAGAGTTGGACATCCTGCATTTGCGCCTGGCTCATGGTCATGAGAAGCGCCTACTGTATGGTTTTTCAGACCTGGTGGTGAGCTGTGTGAACGAGTATTTCTATATTATCAAACAGTGAAGCCTTGAAAGTGTTTGGAAGGACTGTCATCGTACTGAAAGGTCCTCCTATCCACTTCCATGATTGTTGGAAAGAGGCTACCCAGAAGTTATTCTTGGTAGCTTGCAACCGTTTTTTTGTTTTTTTTACAGGGGAATAGGTCCAAGCACAAATACAAAAGAACTGGCAATTCCAATCACCCCTACTGCGGTTGGACGAAATCCCGCACCACCTAAGAAACCCTGGAATGATGGCTCCCCTGCAAATACCAACCAACAATGGTTTCCCATGGCTTCCAAGTGGTGCAGAATTTCGTCCATCCACAGTATCACAAACTGGCAATTCCTGCCCCACACCCTCACAGGCCGTCCTCGCGGGCGTCGTCCAACCAGTCGGTGGCGCGGTCAGAGGCTCCTGAGGCGCTCCGCGGCAATTCGTTTGGGGGAGACACAACCAAATCGAGGCAAGTTCTCCGCTGCAAATTCACGTGGCGCCCAAAAAGGGGATCCCCGAAATTGACGATGTGTCACCAGAAGGGATATTGTTTATGTTTTATGTTGAACTTCAGGCTTCAGGGGAACAAACAGGGTTCCACTGCGCACAAACCACAACCAAGGAAAAAAGGGGGATAAAATCACACATATATATATATGTACATATATACATAGATATTACACATACATATACATATGTAGCCGCCATATAAGGGGACATCTACTCTCAACCCTCAAAGCTAGGCTTCCCGTTGTCGTTTGGAGATTTGCCCATGTTTGCTTTTGTGTTGACACCATTTAAAACTGAACCAACAGCTGCCAGTCGAAGACAATTTCTTCCAATCCTGTGCGCGCAGCACCCTGTCTGTAATGTGGTGGAGCAGCTGACAAAGCTGCTGGGGAACCTGGGTAGCTGCTTTTGCATTTCAAATGTCATGAACGAGCCGTCTTGGTCATCTATGATGACTTCCCTTGCTGTGTCTCCAGTCAAACGTTTGGGCTATATACTTAGGGGAGTGCCAAAAGAAGGTAAATCTGTCGGAGATGCCAGTTGCACCCAGCCTCACGGTGCAAAACCTGGGCCTAATTTACGGCAGGCTCACCACAAGCACGCCTATCTTGGGGATTATTTATTTCAGGACTTGGAATTTCACTTGCAGAACCTGGAGCTCAGAGCTCAGTGAAAAGCTCCACACGAGGCTTGAAGGATTCAGACCAAAGGCCATGACGGAGCGCGCAAGTCAGAGGGTGTGTTGCATTGGTAAAAGGGTCAATATGAATTCGGTCGCGTGTTTGTTGTCCTTTGTGGGAACCAAATCCCATGGACCACACTTCAGGTAACACCTGAGCAATTCTGCGCGAGGCAATCGGCATCTGATTCGGAATACCATGATTTTGCTGGGGCAAAGGTGAACCAGGATAATTCATCCAGATGGTTCCTTGACCAACACACCGACCACATCTGGCCGCTGGTTGAAACTGTGGTCATCTTTGCCAAGATGATAAGGGCCTTGCAATTCCACTATTGAATTTGCTTGGCCACTGAAAGGGGGGTTCCGTTGCATTGTGTTTGGTTTGTGGACGGGACATTGGACTATGAGCTGCCAGGATGCGGTGTACCGCCCGACTCGCATCGCCATTTGGCCGGATGCTGAGCAAAGAGACCGGGGTTGGGTCAGAAGCAGTCAACGCCATGCTGCACGAGGCACACCCACACACACACACTGCCTATTTGGGATTAATTAAAAAGGATCATTACCAGACTACACCTTTTTTGCTCTTTCTCCCTTTAGGTTCCCTGAATGAATCATACCTTATGACCAGCCCAAAATCACTTTTGCCCAGGGTCTATGATATGGTCCAAGGAGGAGTCTGGTGGTGAAACTGGAATTGGGCCCTACCCGGCCTTGGACCGATGGAATTCCACTGTTGGCAGCCTGTTGTCCCTGTGTGGCTTCGGAAGTTAGGCTTTCCTTTTCCTTCTGGTGGAAGAATAGTAGACTCTTATACTTGTTGGATCGTCACAATTACCTGATAATTAAGCCGTTCTTGCAGTCTCATGCACGCTTTTGCTGGATTACTTGATTTGTGTTTCATTGGTTCCTCTCCTCCGTGGACCCCCTCCCTTGAGAATTTTATCATCAGCACCCGCACGACATGCTCAATTTGTGAGTAGCCAATGTTTAAGATGGGTCACAAAGCTCCCCTTGACCTCGAGTGTCTGGGCCCGCCAGCACCATTCTTCTAGTTGGCTGGCGAGCGGGCAGGCGGGAAGGAGGGAAGGAAAGAAGTTTCACGCAGTCTCCTGCATTTGCTGGTGCAGGATGCGGCCTCCCAAATGTGGGACGTGTTGGTGCTGCCGACGCGAGGGATTCCTTCCGGAGCGTTTTCCTGGGCATGGCCGCACATGTCGCGTTTGACACGCGATAATTAATTGGTCTGATTGATGCACTTGGCATTTTCTGATCACCGCAAATGTGTTTGTTGATCAGAAAGTCTGTCCACCTCTCACATTCCACATCAGGACATTGTCCAATTTGAGTGGCGAGCTAATGAGTGCTTTGACTCACCCGGTAGGGGATCCGTATAGGCTTTCCTGCGACGCTGTTTGAACTGCAGGCCGTTCCATACTAAAAATCTCACCTGAATCACCTCGCCCTGCTACCAACACCCGCAACGGCTCACAGGTTGATGCCTACTGTTGGATCACTTCCATCAGCTGTTCATTCCCACACAAGGCGTAGCTCCAGAAGGATATCAAGTTTGTTGCGGGGCCTATTGTTGCCACTTGCAGTTGGCCAGGCAAAGCCACGTCAAAAGTGGAAAAGCACCAGGTGTGTGTGTGTGTGTGTGTCCACATAAGTGGATCCTCAAAATGGTGGTCTAGTTTCCCTTTAAACCAACTTGAAAAGGGGCAAACAGCGCAAACCCGCCTTGGAAGAACGAGTTCCAATGGGTTGTCTATCGTCATGACTGCGGGACAACATGGGAAGAGTTGGAGTTGTCGGGTGTTTAAAGCCGCGCTTCAAAACAGGTGCTTCCCCGGCTTTTGGTTTGTTCCTATCAAGAAAGCAACGGGATGCCACGTGAGCCTGTCCCAAAACTTGGCAACTCCAAACAGAGGCTCGCGCTAGTTTCTCATAGTCCTTCTCTATAACAATAAACCAAAGTTGTGCAAAGGACACCCTAAACCAGGACACACGCACACACACACACACACACATTACAGTTTTTTCCCTGAGGTCGGAGGAGCTGGGAGCACGAAAGCGGCAGGCACGGAGCTGCAAAGTGCTTTGGCGTTTGGGGGATAGATTGCTGCAGCGGAAACTCGAAGCTCAAGCCGGCAAACAAATAATCAGTGGGTGACACAAGGGGCTGCAGAATTAAATATGATCTCTAACCATTGACCCCAAATTCTAATTATTCAGCCCTTCATATTGCATTGGTTAGTTAGTGTGTGGTTAGTCGCTGCTTCGTGTGTGGCTAGTGGTTGGTTGATTGGTGGGGTATTTGAGAACAGACTGAATTTGTTTTGGCCTGCACGGTATTTGTGTATGGGTCATTCTTGGGGGCGTGCTTGAGAAGAAACACAAAACAAGCCAAACAGCACTTGAACACGAGCCACACATGCAGCCAGCCCTTTGTTTGCCAGCGGCACACAGGCATTAGGTGACAGGATTCCAGTTCTTAGCTCATTGTTCATAAGGGAGGGACATAGGCCACTGGTATGCACCATTTTGAACACACCTGATCACACCTACCTTATCTGGCGATTGCCAGTGCAGCGGTTATAACACAGCTACTTCAATTTGAGCCATGGCCATGACTTCATTTCTTCTGGTACCCAACCCCCTTCTAGTTGTTTTTGCCTTTTATCAAAGAGGAACCCCAAGGCGAGCAGTGCTATCCGTTTAAGGTGGCTCCACAGCGAAAGTTGACCAACCGTCGCCAGACGCAGGGCCTCATGTTGCCTTTTGTTGCTTCCCTCATCGCCAAAATCACCTGATGAGCAGATTTGAGGATCCCCTTGGTTCAGGCGATATAGGAAGTTCCAACATCCAACGGACTCCCAAGGTCCTACAGATCGCTTGGCTGTCGGAGGTGCCGAAATGCAACCGGAGGTATGTGTCAGGGCCTTCCAGCGGGTTCACCTGCGCTTATCAAAACGGCCGACCAGAGCAGCAACATAAAACCCGAAGCCCGCACAAGTGGTTGACCCACCGTTGGAATTGTTCAGCTGAACTGACCACGCCTGAGGTTTCCTGGATCCTTGTCCCGATGTTCAACTCTTGGACTGAGCCCTTTCCAGGGTTTGGAGAATTTGGTCGAGCAAACCCACTCCGATGACTTGTGAAAGGAAACTCAAAGGCGGCAGCTTGGGTGGGTCTGTTTACCGGAGCAGACTGGCAAATAGATGAGATTTCCATCACACACCTGCTGCTGAACCAGTTTGGTGGTTTCCTATTCTGGACCAGGATTAAACACCCTTTTGCTTGGAGTTGGTAGAGAATTCCATCAACCCCGTTGGTCACCCATCTCTTGGTAGGGAATTCATTAAGCCATCGCAGGCGTTTTCCACCCAGGGCACCATGACCATGACCCAATTCAGGTTACTTTTGCCTTCCCAGATCTTCCACTTACCCCTGCAGAAGGTAACCAGGGTTTGGTACCTCTGGGTCAGGTTTTTGCACAGTTTACCCAGCATGGCAACTGGAAGCACTTGGCACGTGGAGACCGCAGGGCGCGGAGATGCGCTTGAAGCAGGAGCTGGAGCTGCAAATGGGTGCGCCAAGCGATGCACCCGTGGCGGTCAAGGGGTGGACAGCTTTAGGGCCGACAGCAAGATTTTTGTTCGTTGAAACAGGAGACTGGAATTACGCGAATTGTGAAACAACTCCCACCATTTGGAGAGGGTGGTTTCACTGCGTGGCTGAAACCTCTTTGGGGGGGGACATGGAGTGCTGAGTGCTCAATTTTTGCCACAATCAGCCGGCATCCCAAGTTCTCCGCTCCGTTGGTAACAAGTCATGTTGCCATGTCTCATTTAGATTGGGTGGTTCCAAACATAGGCAACCTCTAAACCACGATTCCTTTTGGTCCACCGCTATTCTGACATCTGTCTTGAATGGGACAGTGTCAACACTTGCTGCATTTGACTCCGCAGTTGAAGGTGTCATGAGCAACCAAACATTTGGAAGGCCCCACCTAGTTTTGTCTCGTTCCCCCATGACGATTGTTTCAGCTTGCAATTCCCTTGACAGCAAGCTCGGAACCCTTATCATAGTTGTTTGCAAGAAATTCGGGTTACAGTTGCTCTTTGACCCCCTGCTTTGTTAGTTGAAATAAATGTTGCGGGGCCTTCCGACTTTTGGACCTTTCCAAAGGGCACCGGGTCTTGCGCCAGGCCCCAAGTGCCTGGACGACTACCGCCGGCAGCTGGTGAACGTGAGCGGATGTCTGGTCCGGCACACGGCTTGTTCGGGGCAGATCTCTGTAGATGAGCACACCCGTGTTTCCTGTTTGTTTGGGGGAAGCCCACCCATCAAGGTTCCATTCTCGTTGCGAAGGCATATATTACCGTTTGCCCCCAGAGAGTTAGAAACACTGGTGGAGTGGAGTGTGACTGGTATCCACTGGAATACAAATGCACAGCAAGTGGGAACTTATGCAAGTCAGTAGGGTACGCGTGAATCCAGAGACCCTACGCATGGTTGAATTCTTTTTGTTTCTCTCCAATTTCGAATCTGTCTTCCCCAGAACGTGTCCCTGAGAAGTTTGAAAGCGACAACCAGGGTCGCGGCAAGTGTTTCAAGATGTTCAATCCACTATGCTAGACAATATCACTTTGGCTTTCCTTGTTTAAACCAACTTGGCCCAACCCTGTTCCAGGCCCACAAGTATGGAACTGGGGAGCGTTCTTTTGTTGGTTCAAGGGAAACCAAAAGGACGCCAACCAGGTTGATTGGCCAATTGTAGGACACCCGCCCCCAATGAGTGCTCTTTTTTTTGAGGATATATACCCCTGTTGGAGTGGTGTTAAAGGGACACCAAAAGGACCCCAAGCATTTGTTGGGTACCCTACTTCAAGTAGGGTACCCAAACATGGTTGGTTCTCTTTTGGTTCTTTGAGACACACCCAGATGTGTATGGGTCAGAATTAAACCACCAGGGGACCGCGGATTTTAGTCCATGTTTCCATGTACCAGGGTTCCGATTTGGGTACCTATGTTTGACCCACAGACATATTTGGAATAAGTCTTTTCCCGAGGCGGCAGCTTGGAAGAATCGCATGGACACCGAGTGCCTGGAGCTGAGCTGGACAGCTCGTGGTTGGGCGAGGATGTTGACGCGGCAGGTCCAGGGGACACCAGAGAGGCTGAGTGGCCCAAGACGGTTTTGCTGACACCAAGCAGTTTGGGCCCTTTTGATGTGAACATTGGCCCCTTGTTTAGATACTTTTTTGGTTGTAGACAGGTTGGTTGGGAAAACAGGCCTTTTTCATGTGCGGTGGGGATGGTTCGCTGTGAGGCACTGGGCGCCTCTCCTTCATGCAGTTTTGCATGGGCATCGACCGCACTGGCGGGTCTCCACCTTAGCCTGGACTGCTGGACCGAGAGGGGCGCTGAGATGTTCAGAGGGTTTTGCGTCACCTCTGGAAAACGGGTTCGTGATGTGCTGGTGGTGCGAACCAGCAAGGAACCAGCTGTGTGCCTCTGTGAAAATCGGGTGCCTGCTTGGAAAACCTTGGTTTGTGGGTTTCAACATGGCCAATCACTAGTTAAACATCGTGGCTTGTTTAATGTTGGACCTGCTTTAATGCAACATCCCCACCGGAACAGTGCCAACAATCATTTTGGCCCTTTGATTTCTCACCCGAGCCCCCAACGAAGCTTGCCATTAAGGAGGACCCCAAAACAGTCAGATTAAAGAGGATCAGGGGCTCTTGCGAGGCACCAGGGTCCTTTACCTGCGGGTCTCGTAATTCAGCTTCTGGTTATAGTAAAAATTGCCGATAGCTGGTGCATTGAGCAGTTCTTGACAGGAGAGACCCTGTGCGGTCCTTGATCAACAGCTGGAACAGAACGGTCTGGCTACCGCCACCCTTACGGTGAAACCGAGGCTTAGAAATGTCAAAGCCAAGTGCTCTCCCTCATTGCAAACCACAGCAACAATCTGTTTCCTTTCCCGTTCCGAAGTTGGTGGGAGCGAAATCAAGACAGTGTGTCTTTCCCCGGGGTTGGAAGGGACAATGGACCCCTTGATAGGGAGTTTAGACAACTCTGATAAGGATTCCTGGTAATGGAACAATAACCCTGGCCCACAGAACTGTGCATCCTGGTCCTAGATCTTCCCCGAACTGGTTCAGCGAGCCACTACCGGACAGAAATGGGGTTGTTTCCAGTGCGGCTTGGGATTTGGGATGATTTGGGTTTGTCTCGTTTTGTCTCCAAATGCCGAAACCTTCAGAGGAGTCGGTTTCATCTTTGTTTGTCTTTGATAATTCAACCCCGCGGAGGGGTACAGTGCACCAGGTACTCGGGCAGCGTCAAGCAGCTCTGGGCGGAGATCTCCGGGGAGAAGGACGACATCACCTTCCAGGACTGGGATCGACACCTGGGGTGATTCCTTGGAGAGCGGAAAACCGTTGAGGCTCACCTGCCTTAGCAAAAAGGGTGCCCACTTTGTTCCCATGGCCACAGGGCGTTTGGGGGGTGCGAGGTGTTTGGACGGGATAGCTCGACACTTTATGCAAGGACCAGAGTCCCAGGGTGGGACGCGTTGCTCTGTCTCTCTCTCTCTCTCGCGCTCGCTTGTTTTGCTTTTTGTTTTTCTCTCTCTCACTCTCTCTCCCAACCCGCTTTCCGCAAAGTGGAAGGGGGGATTGGTAGTTTGGAAGTTTATCCTGTTTCCGTAGTGACTTGAGTGTGGCAGAACAATCGCTGGAGGCGATGCCGAAACCTTGCTGCGTCCTTGGTGGAGCGTCGCCTTGCGAACCAAGCACAAAGCCTGCGGATTTCAGTGGGCGGCACAACCATGGCTGCACGCTGTCAAGTTTCACCGATGGCAGGTTTCACCGATGGCAGCATGTCCACCGACTACAATGTGCATTATAGCCAGCCGTCGAAGCTGGGGGGAGGTGGAAGTTTCACATTGTATATATTTCGCTTCTTCTTCTTCTTCTTTTTTCTGTTTCTTTCTTTTTTTTCTCTTTCTCTTTCGTTTTCTCTCACTCTCTCGCTCTTTTCAATCCTGCAAAACTGACAAATGCAAACCACCCCGCCAAAGTCCACAGAGGCCTGCACAAGTCAAATGCACCGCACAGAACACCATGGGTGAGTGTTTGAAGGTCGATCCCAAATGTTCGCAGAGGGCTCACGCCTTGATGGCAGCCAGAAGTGAAGCACAGGAGAAACCAGCAGTAGTTTTTGTTAACAATGGCTTGAACATGGTTTACGAGGTTGGCGAAGCCTTGGTCCCTGCTGATTTAAATGCCTTGGATTCACTGGGCTCTCTCGCCGGAACTTGTTCCAGGACCTCGACCCAGACGGGTACGAGCTCCTCCAGGCGATGTCGGAATATCGCGCGACTGCGTCCCTGAAAGTGCAGTTTGGAATGGTTTTCCTTGTATTTGAGGATGCCAGATTCACGGACCACGACTAAGTTTTGGCACCCATTCTGGGCCATGGCGACCTCGCAGATGTTGGTTTGCCGCTTTAGGCTGGGTTGAAGGTGGGGATGCCTTAACTCAGGCAAATGAACAAATGCAACGAATATTCAGGTGAATGAAATTGGAACGAATAGTTTGCCTCCCTGGTGAGGGCACAGGGGATGACATCAATAAAAGCCGAGTCTTTGTCATTCCTTTCATTTTTGTTGGGTATCCTTCTGGGTTGAATATACCTAATACAGCTGTGTGAGTTGGCGCAAGTGGGAGAACACGGAAACCACGCACTTTCAGTACAGCGAGCTTAACACATAACTCTCCACTTACGGCCAAGCCATGTCCAGGGAAATCTCCAAAGATATGCTAACTGTATCTACTGGGTGGGTATGCTAAACTGTGTGTTACTCACTATAGAGGGCCCCTTGTTCGGAGCCCCCTTTAGAGCGAAAGCTCTAAACCAGTTGTAGGCCCACAACTGTGTGGAGGGGTTGGCAAAGTGGAGCCGAAACAGGGCCCCTACTTTGTTAGCCCTCCATGTCGTATGCATTAAAATCTATTCGCACATCTATGGCGTTTCCCAGGTTTGAAACCACGCGCATTCAGCTGGCTTGAAGGGGAAGCAAGGGTAAACCGACCATTTGTGACACTGGTTGGTACCAGGAGTGCTGATCGGTGCCCTTTGCCCCTTCTTACATTGTTTGAAATGGTTAATCCACTTAAGCATAACCAGGCATTGGAATGTGCATCTCGAGATTGAGATGACGGCAGGATTTCCCAATTTGGGCAGCTTGAGTCGCAGTGCCAGCAATGCTCTTCAGGTATGAAAAGTCTAAGTGAGACTTGCCGCGATGACAAGCCACCGCACCACTTGTTTGCCTGCTGGTTTCTTTTTGGTGGCTTCTTTCCTGCTCTGTTGGCAACTCAAATTACTGGGCTATGAAAAAACCTACGCCTACTTGAAGATGTGCATACAACGGGCAGACTCAAGATGCACGTCTATTCATCGGCTTTTGAGTCTTTTAGTATCATGCGGCATCTTGGGGCATTCTTGACCTCAGACTTCTGGGTAGAACCACCTCAGAGCATAATAGTGATTGCTTATTGGTTGGTGCTGAATTTTAGTTTGGGCAATCATTGCAAGTTGCTAGGTATGTCAGTTGAAGCGATGCCCGGACTTCTCGCTTTGTGCTTTGGTAGTATACCTTGGTTGTCCATTACACTGCATCACCAGGTCGCCCAGGTGGTCTGATTCAACAATTGTGTTTCGGCCGCTTGGTGTTTAGTGTTTGCACTATGTCGGAAATTGTCCTAGAGGTAAAGCGTTTGTCCCGCGTGGAGTGTTGTCAGTCGTATTGTCCGGCATCACTTTTGGGTCTGTGCCACTGAATGATACTTTGTTGGCAAGTCAAAAGAAGCCTGACATGAAGCCAGTCCTTTTTCCTTCCAGCCTTGTTGCTGGCTTTTGTTTTGGTTTCTTCCTCTTTACATGCACTCAGGCAGTCCCAGGTCGAAACAGACCCAAAGAACGAGCTAGCAACTGGCGGTGTTTGCAGCATCCACTTCTGACTTGTGAGTTCCGTTTCCTGTTCCTGGTTCGGCTCTTCTTCTCGTGGCTCGAGTCGGCGTTGGATGGCAGGCCTTTGGCAGCACCCTGATCGACAAGTGCGACACCCTCGGGGAGCGGGATCCTGCCGCCGCGGCCTTCAAAGGCGCACCCGGGCGGCCGGGCCGGCGGGCAAAGCGTGCCACGGGTCTGGGACCCCGCTACCCAACATGAGCATCTTGAAAAAAAAAACTGTTATTTTATTACTATTATTATTAGTATTATTATTATTATTAGTAGTAGTAGTAGTAGTAGTAGTAGTAGTAGTAGTAGTATTTATTATCTATGTTTTATTAATATTTTATTATTATTGTTATCATCATTCTTATGATTGTCGTTAGTGCTATTGTAATTATTATTGTTGCATTATGCATATCTTGTTTATCTCTTACTGTTTGTCATATTCAGAGTATTTATTGTAAACTAGAGTATTGACAAGCCGTATATTTTACAATATACACCTTTATGTTTGACATCTTTCCGACGTATCATCCTGTATTTCTGTACAATATCCAAGCCCTCAAATCGCCTATCTTCGAGGATACATGAGAACTTCATATAGTTCGCAAGCATTTCCTAGTTTGTTAATCTGTTCCCACAGCGTGGATCACCACGCTGCACAAAGTACTTGTAGAGGCGAGATTTCACAAAAGCAACGGAAGAGCGCTCGCCATGACTACTCCCAATCGCTGAGGGTCTGTGGGGTTCATGTTTAGGCTCAAGGAGTTTAGGGTTCCGCGGCGTTCAAGCACGATTCCCCGCAGCAGGTTTACCAAATTGCAAGTTGGGGAAGCGGGACCCAGCTGGGAGCTGAGTTTTGATAGGCCGACACAGGAACTTGCGCTTTCCAGACACCTCTCTCCTTCCAGGACCCAATCTCCCCCGCTTCTTGTAGCAAACCCTGAATGCACCCAGTAAAACACAGCATCCTGCAAGGGATCAATTAACTGGGTCATTGCAAATGCTGAACAATGACTCCACCCTGCAAGTCGGTACTGTACTGTACCTCAGTCATATCCTCAATTGTTGGACACTAGTAATGAATTAGGTCCTTGTGACGATCATGCTGGTGCTGGACAAACGGCTCGACTTGATTGAAATGACTTTTCACTCCGCGCGGGATGTCGCTGAATGGTTCGCCACGGCACTACGACTACGAACAAGCAAAGGCCATCTTTGTTCTTAACTGATATGAAAGGTAAGCAGCTGTTACCGGCTTCCCGTCTGATTCCGTTCAGTATCTATACGTCTATATCATATGCAGGGACATGGTCCTGTCTTGGGTACCCAACCCAGGGGTCCGGCTCTATCCACTATAATTGCCGACATGAGCAACGGCAGCATATGGGTTCCTAACCCAAGCCAACTACGAAACATATGTATGCTCCAGGCTTGCCAGACACCCTTTCTCATTCCTTCCCTGTTTTGTGATGCCCCCAATGTAATGATACATATAACATATATATATATATATATGCGCACACGTGTGTGTGTGTGTGTGTGTGTGTGTTCATTTTATGAGACGCTTTAACGCCAAGTATGCCAAGTCACAGAACACCCCCAGCCACTGTAGATCGGCCGCACAAAGCAGAAGATCAGGACAAGACAAGTCGCGGGATTGCCTCCAGTCACCCTAGATTGCTTGTTTCCAAGAGCAAAGCAAAATAGGGTGGGATGAGTGGACAATTGATTAATCATCACCAAGATCTCACAACAGTGTTCCGTGTTGATTGGTGTGTCTTGACTTTGACTGGGGCTTGACATCCCTGCCTGTTTTGAATGCTGGCAGGGTTGAAGATGGCAAACTAGCGAGCACCTGCTCCTAATGAATACTGTTTGATTATGTGCTTTGGGGCTCACCTGAACCCACAATTGGATGGACGCCTGGGATGTTTCTATTCTCTGTCTAGAGCTTTGGCTTTGCCAGCCCCATTGCTTGGCCAGAAACATGGACCCATTTCCAAATGACCAGCTCTGATTGTAATTGCAGAACCTTTGGTGGCCGTCATGATCGGATTTTCCGGTATGTCCTTTGCCATTTGCCTGTCAGCTTTCTGGAGCAAGATCGAGAAGTACAGAGACGAGCAATTGGACGAGGCGTGCGCGACCCGCGGTCGCCGGACGTGTGTCAGATCAGATCCATGAATGACCTTTAAGCTCCAGTTCGCAACAATTGTTGGGCTGTTGCGATCTAGGTGTACGTCTTTGAGAGACAAACCTATGTGCGAGTTTGGCTGCCTCAGCATGCGATGTTGAATGTCTTAGGTCTTGGTGGTTGAGGTTGAGAAACGGGCTATGTACTCTGAGCAAGTATGCATTCCACGACTTTCTTTGGAAAGTAGCGGGCGGAGGGAATCCAATATGATGCCAGGATCAACACCTGGAGGTTGGAAGAGCACATTCTCAATCATAAATCTCCACCCCTCATCCTCTGAAATTCGATTGATTTGGGGAATTGCTCTAAGAGCCTTCACAGTCGCGAAAGGGGCCGAAAGAGTCCTTTAGGGTAGATGCTTGAAACAAAACTTTGGAATTCCTAGAAAAGGATGTTTTGTTTTGTTTTTTGTATTCAGTAACACACTATCCAACAAAGGATCCCTATATGGGGCGCTATCCAACAAAGGATCCGTTTCGGGGAAAGGGAGCTTGGCTAGGTTCCCCAGTAGTGCCCTTTCTCACCCCTTTTTTGGTTGAGAGGGTTCCCCTACTGAAAAGAGTACCCTTATTCTAACCTCTTTACTGGAGGACCTAGTTGGGGAGTCTCCTCGCAGGATGAGTTCATCAGCCGATGCCTGGAGAACATCGAGGGCCTCTCCAAGCGCGAGCTGAAGAGGTCGGGCTGTCGGGCCGGGCGACTAGAGGTCGGGGCAGAGGAAGGTGTGTTTGGTCTCGTTCCTTTTATGGCTGCGGCGTTTTGGTTGTTTTAAAGGGAAAGAAGACCCATGAGGTTGCACGCAAGGGACAAAACGCCATGATTCTCAGCGCTTCCAGTCTTTCAGTTACCACTAGACCAGGTTAATGGGGAAATCATGTAACCTCTAGCAGCAAGGAACAGCTAGTCATCCGTTAAAGTGTATTGCAAGTGGAGTCGCTGGGTATAGTGTTTCGTTTTCTGCCAAGCAGAGGCTCCATCCTTAGCGTCACAAAATCAAGACATGCAGCCTCAGAACGCTCGGGGAGAGTCGACGGGGAAGGAAGCAGGCTTGGTCCTTGTTCGGCCTCCCAGTAAAGTAGACGGAGGCCAGAAGGGGGGGGGGGGGGCAACTTTCCCACAAAATCTAGGGGGCCAGCCCAATTTGTCCATATCCTCCTGGGAAACCACAATATTGTCTAAGGCGTAGTGGTTTGTGAACCATGCCCCTTGCTTGTGACTCGTTGTGGTCTCCTGCAATGTCCCAAGGCCTAAGGTCCTACCCCTTCTTGTGCATGGGCACACTGCAATCTCCGAATGGTGAACGATTTCAATGGGACCTGTTGATAGAAAAAGAGAAGGCGCGAGGTCTTGTTGAGCGCAATCTTGCTAAGGCGGATCCACTCGACCGGATTGTTGTTCACAGCTTCCCTCGCTGAAGTGTAGTTCAGTTGCCACGAAATACAAGTTTGTTCGGTGTGTCTGTTGAGATCGTTCGCGTTGATGCCCTCACCAGCCATCAGGAATTGAACGGTTCGCTTGCTGAAGATTCGTACGTGCCCTAATTGCTCAGCTGAACAGCTAATTCCCATCCCATCAGCAGATGTACGTAGAAGCGCGGTCCATGGATTGTGTGCTATGTTGAGTGCTTGAAGTTTGAGCTGTGTGGTTGCTAGTGCTAGACTGAGCTTTGACATTTTACCTTTTGAACTTGTTTGGTCTGTGGGGCAGCTCAACCAACTACCCCCAGAAGCTATACCTATGCCCTTCCATTTCGGGTTGCTTGTGGGTTCCCTTTCAAACATGTTTGTTTTTTTCACGCACTGACGTTGTATGTTTTTTGGCATTGTCGCATCCCCCATTCATTTCACACACACACAGCCATCGAATTCCTTTGTAACGAGGAGGTGCTGGAACTGCAAAAAAGCTGGCCTGATATTCCAAATTAGTTGTGTGTTGTTGGTCTTTGTTTAGTTTAGTTGTGGTATTTGGTTTGGCTTCTGCAGCTACTGTACAGGGACTCAAATACAATTCCCACCCATTGGGTTAAGTCCCACTGGGCGAATTCGTGTGGGAGTTTCTCAAAGTGATCGACCCTTTCGGCTGGTGTTTAAAGGGAAGCCGAGTGGAATGTCTGTGGTCTTTTCGATATTCTCGGATTTTCCCATGGAGGATCTTCAAGATGCTGCTGCCGGAGCCCAGCACGGGCCGGGTGAAGGTGATTCAGAGCGACCTCCAGGCCAGGGCCCCAGGGCCCCAGGGCCCCATGGCCCGCCCGGTCGAAGGCTTCTGCCGAATCGGGGGCAGTGGTTGGTGTCCAGGTGTCCACAGTTGCTCTGTGCTGCTCCAAACCCTGTTTTCGTGGATGGCGGCCCCACTAAATCTGGAGAACCCCGCTATAGAAAACGGTTGCCTTTTTCTATTGGGATGGTTTCAAGGGAACCAAACCCAGTGCTTGCAGTACCAGTTGCCAGTAGTACAGTAGCTAACCAAACTTCTTCTCTCTAGGTTTTACCGCATGATTTTCCCTGGTCACCTAATGGAGACTGGACGTACTATGCTACTTTCAGGGATCCAGGGAAGTGGCTGGTTTTTGAAAAGAACGGTGGTTGAAACAAATTGGGAATCAACCCCCGGAATGGTTCAAAGTTCTGGTTGCCTGGGTTACCGGCCATCTTGGAGGTCCTTTTGGTGAACATGTTGCCACGATGATCAACATATTGTTTCCTTGAGTTGCTAGGGGTGGTCATTTACGGTTGAACGCCGTCTCCTATTTTGAAGAGGCGAATCATGGTGATAACTATGCCCCTCTAGTCAATGCTCCCTGGATTAGGGATAATAGCACATCATAGTGAGGGCTATATGCTTTGACCATGAAGGGTTTTGGGTCCTGCTCATATATGTACGGATATGCTGCGTTTGAGGCTTACTGAAATCGGATACTTGACTGAGTGGTTACCAGACACCTCCCTTGAGACGCTTGTCTGGAGAGTTTGGACTTGTCCCACGCTTGAGGAACATATCTCTCGTGTATATATATATATATATATGGGTCTGTGAGAGTGTCTTTTGAAGGTGCCCAATTTTTGGGTGGCTTCAACACACATTCCCATATCTCAGGTGGTGGCCATCGCCTTGCCCGCGGAGATGAAAGTAAGGCGCCTCTACCAGTGACACGGGCAGTGTGCCGGGGGGGGGGGAAGTGTTGGACACAGGCAGCCGCGCACTGTTCGAACATCAGGAACTCCGGACGTGTCTTTCTGTTGGAAGATCATGTTGCAGGAAAAGAACGAGCTTCGCTTTCTTATGGCTAATCCTTGTTGGGAGGGGGGGCAGAATGCTGTCTCCTGTTGGTTTGCCTTCGAGTGGCAGGCCAACTGACAAGCTTTCCACTCTCCTCACTCCCCATGATCCTCCCAATCGCAGTGAACGGAATGCGAAGGAAAGAGGGAACCGGTCAGTAAAAGATCGAACTACCCAAGGTTTGCCAGAGATTCTGAACTAGCCCAGGGTTGCTGGTTCATTATGATGAGCCATCACTGGCGCATAGGAATTTCAAGTTGTTGATGGTCAAGAATCCCCATGAGGACCAGGTGCACCAAAGGGCCACATAAATTCGTGTCTCCATTGTCTAGCGTTTCACCAGTTCCACGGTGGGTTTCTTGTCGACCCTTTCTTGTGAGCACGCAGGCCTAACATGACCTAAGCTTAGGGACGAGTTGATGAAAATCCCACCAGCACCTCACGGGGGGCCTCACGGGGCATCTTTCAGATTTCAGAACTATGAATTCATGCGGGAAGGGGGGCTGACAGCAACACCCTGTTTGAGTACAATGCCCCTTGAATTGTTCAAGGTGGCACACCATGACACCACTTTATGATACTGTTTAGGCCATCTTTTTTCAAATTAAAGTCTGGTTGCCGGCCTCTATGACCATGGTCAGGCAAATTATTTTGCATATTGGTATCATGCGCGAGGTTGAGGAACAACTCCTTGTTTGAACGGTCAATCCCTCACAAAGGTTCCGATCAGTCAAGATGAGGGTTTGACAACGGCCCCTTCTGCCCCCAATAAGACCATTTGAGCCTGGTGAGTCTGGGCCAACGTTCAGCACCCATCCGCCCTTTCGGGCGGTCCGAATGACAAAGACACGAGATCAGCCTGGGAGGGGAGTATGAATCACATGTGGGGAGGAAGATGCCGAGCGACACTGAGAAAATGGACAACACGAAGTCTGACAAGACTGAGGACGGGCTTGTCACACTGTGAGATGAAGGTGTGTCAGACTCTGAGCCTATCACCCATGATGAAGTGTTCTTTCTCGTTTGGTTTTGGTCTTTCACAGTCCGTTGGTCTCTGACTTGCAGCGTCAGTAGCCTGGCGATTCCTTCACCATTTGTTTGGCACTTTGTGTTATGTTCTTGACTGGTAATTAGTGGGCCGTGTTACAAGGGTATTGGTTGATGGCGTTCCCTATCACCCTTGCAGGTTGATGGATATCACGATCCCAAACTTGTTGGGAAAAGACGTGGTTTGGCCTGTGTTTGCAAGAAGCGTGATGTTTTACGTACAAATAGCCACGCAGTCTCGTTCGTATCGCTAGGGGTTGGACGCTGTTGGACCTGGGATGGGCATCCCCGAAATATTACACCTGTCAATGGGTTCAGGAAATAGCCACTTGTCATCCACTGGTCCAAAGCTTCCCCCTGCCTCACCCATTTAAGGATGAAAGTGGACAGCACAATTCCCCTGTACCAGGGAATTGTGCCATCCACTCCACTCCACCCCACCCGACCCCACCCCACCCGACCCCACCCCACCCCCACCACTCCACCCCACCCCACCACTCCACCCCACCCCACCCCGCCACTCCACCCCGCCCCACCCCACCCCACACCCCACCCCACCCCACACCCCACACCACACTCCACACCCCACCCCACCCCACCCTACCCCACCCCACCCCACACCCCACACCACACTCCACACTCCACACCCCCACCCCACCCCCCCCACCCCCCCACCCCCCCACCCCCCCACCCCACCCCACCCCCCACCCCACCCCACCCCACCCCACCCCACCCCACCCCACCCCACACCCACCCCACACCACACCACACCACACCACACCACACCACACCACACCACACCACACCACACCACACCACACCACACCACACCACACCACACCACACCACACCACACCACACCACACCACACCACACCACACCACCACCCCACCACCACCCCACCCACTTTGGCACTGGTGCGGATGTAGGCGTTGACGTCAGGAGACCGGCGGCTCCCCCAAGTCCCCGGCCTCGCCTCTGCGCCCGCCCTCGCCGGCGTCCCCACACGGCGCCTCGCCCCGGGCGAGCCCGCGGTCCCCGTCCAAGCGAATGTCGCCGGAGCTGCCGGTGGTGTCGGTGGAGGCGCGGCTTTGCGCGCATGGGCAGTTTTGGCTCAATCACCTTCAGGTTCCGGGGCAATTGACCTTAGATGTTCTGGGGGGCGCGTCCACCGTTGGTTGTCGCAATTCTTCATTGCTGCACACCGCCCAAATCCTTTTCGATCAACAACCCCTCTAACTAGGAGTCAACAGACCCCTGCAGCATTTTGTTTTCTGGCTGTTTGTTTGAGCTATGGTACTAGTTTTCCTCTGGGTCATTTGCAATCACTTAAGCACTGGTTGGTGGTGCATGTGGATTTGTTTGCTGGTCCATGGAGGAAGCCTTTTCAAGAGCCTGCAGGACATGAGTTGGTGAGTTGGGGGTTCGCAGGATGCTCTGTCCCCGCCTTTCAAACCGGACTTGTGCATCCCAGAAATGTTATTGGTTCCTCAGAAATGGGACACCTCCTTGGAAATATTTGATGGGAGGAATGACCCCTGGAATGTCGTTTCTTGCGACCCATTTGTGGCTTCTGAAGCCTAGATTGCTGATTGGGGGTGAGCTGAGCGGATTCCCTTCCCTGTGGTGCGGACGTAGCAAGGCTGTGGGTTTGCCTTGTGTCCAAATGTGTTTAGGGACATAAGTCAAAGGTTCGCAGCACTGGTAGGACAGCGCTTGGTTCAACACTTTTTCTTTACTGGCTGGGTTTTCAGGATTTCGATGGAAGGACCAGGAAGAAGCACAGCGCGAAGAAGCAACAACTCACAAGAATCCTCATTTTGGAAGTACAGACACGTGGCCCTTCAGCCCCTCCCTCCCCTCGAGCCCCCGGTCCCGCGCGTCCCCGCCCCCGCAGCCGCGAGCTGGGCGCAGGAGTTCCGCCGGCTCCTGAAGCGTCTCTACGGCAGCGTGCACGCGGGATGGGTCAAGTACCTGGATGTGACCGAGGCGAAGCTTGGGTCATAGGTTCGGTCAACTACCCAGTCTATGGCTTCGGCATAACACGCATCAAGTCCACCACGGCGAAGATGGAGGAGGATGATGCTGATGTTAATGCTGCTGACGAGTTTCATTGTTCTGCTAAGACGGTATACTATTATCATAATTCTGCAACTGCCCTAAGTTTGCCCGGTAGCATTACAATGGATTTACAAAGGAGGACTTTCTAATTGGCTGCTTAGCTCGAGGGCCGTGCTCTTCTTAGAAGCGGCGTTAGCCTTTGGTTGGCCCAGCGCTCTCAATTAACCGTAGAGTAGGGAGACAGGAAGAGAAGATAAAACCTATTTGCAGTAGTGTGTGACTGGTTGGCGTTTCACATCGCCCACGCCCTGGCGCGGATTGTCAAGGTGCTGGGAATTCCATTGCAACGCCCAGGGGTGACAAGACGCCCTGTTTAACCCTGATCAAACGAATTCTGAACAAAACCTGCTCCGGCGTGTCCCTGTACAGCGCCTGGGGCTGGTTGAAGCCTATTCTGCCCGAAATTTCAAGCTCAGCTGCGGTGGCTTGCTTTTTCATAGCAGAGAAGGGTATAAACCAACCGTTTCATACACGAGAAGAGTGGTTGGTAAAGGATCACATTCTCTTCCAGGGTGTGCAATTTGCCACCTCTTGGAGCATTTGGCATGCCTCCAAGAGAAATCCTACGCATTTGGATGGGACAAGCAGTTTCTAACAGGGCCATCTAGAAGGGACTCTGTTTTCTACTTATTGCCCCGGGCCAACACCTGGTAAAATGTCCGCTTCTTGGGCAAAGTCATGGAGGGGCCGCATCAGCTTGAGCCCTGCTCCAAGGAGATGCCAATTCACTCGGCGCATTGAATCGCCCAGGGCTCTTTGAGGCTTCTCAGTCTTTCTGGCCGCCAAGCCGGTTTGTGCTTCTGCCACTCACTCCGCAGGTGGGTCGAGTGCCGAAGAATGAGTTTGTGAACCGCGCCCGCGCCATCGGCGTGACAGGCAGGTGACGTGATCCGGACGAGCGGCTTGTGCTCGCTTGCTTGCCCCTAGGTGTTCTTTTTGGTTGTTTTGGTAGAAAGATAGATGGCCCTGGTTTACTTGGTGGTTTAATCATCTACCAGGGCCATCTATTGCCCCTACAAAAGGACACCTATGTGCTTGCCTCCAACCCTACAATCAAATGCTTGGTCACAGCTGCATTTGTTGCGTTGGTTCATACACCGAGCCTTTGATTGGCCAGAAACCAGCATGGACATCTCAAAGGTCGAGGGTGTGTAGTATGGCAATGCTATCCAACTCAGACCAGATGTTTGTAGAGTTGACCCATGATTGACGGCAAACAGCGCTTTTTCGGGTCGTTGTCATTCTATAAGGCTTGGGATTTGCGGCCGACGGATGGGCAGCGAGCTAGGAGGCACACACCCACTGCTTTGTCCAGAACTCACCTCATGGTTTCCCCCTTAAGGCCCACAGAATCAAGGCCTTACTGCCTTTGTCCAGGGGCGTTTGAAAATCTCATAGAAGCCGCATGAGGAACGAGTCATAAGAAGCTCACCAGAGGGTAAAGCCAGCTCAACCATGATAAAGGTGTTTTACTTCAGGTTTTCTTTCAAATTCAGAACTTCCTTTAGGCATCATAGTAACTTTAGAGCCTCCGGCTCACTCCGCCGACATTGGCCTCTCGCTTTTCTCCTTCTTCCTCTCTCTTGTCTCCCTTCTTTCTTTGCTCTCTTTGTTGCCCCATCTCTCTCTCTCTCTTTCTCTTTCTCTTTCTCTTTTTTGTTCTCTTTCTTGTTCTCTTTCTCTTTCTCTTTCTCTTTCTCTTTTTCTCTCTCTCTCTCTCTGTCTTTCTGTGTCTCTTTCTCTCTCTCTCTCTCGCTACCTCCTCTCTCTCGCTCTCTCTCCCCATCCTCTCTCTCCACCACTTTCCCTCTCTCTCGCTGTCTCTCTCTCTCTCTCTCTATCTCGCCTTCTCTCTCTCTCTCTTTGTCTGTCTCTCTCTCTCTCTCTCTCTCCCTCTGTACCTTGCTGAATTGAACATCGAAGCCCAGTCTGCAGTTCCCATCTGCAAAACAACAAAAATATATCGCGAACCAGGGAAGCCCGAGCACAGAGACAAACTGGCGCCCATACGTTTTGTGGAAAACTAGAAGCACCTTGTGGACGAAGCGCGCACAGCGTCCAGGCCACGTGGCAGCTCTCTTTGCAGAGCTGGATTTGGATGGGAAAGGCTTCATCACCTTGAAGGCCCGAGCTTCGTTCACTCGGGTCATGTTGGCTTGTGCAGATAGAGAGAAACCGGCTTACGTGTGGCATCCTGGAAATCCCTGTTTGCTTGGTGTGTTTCTTTAAAATCACCGGGCAACAGGCAATACCTGACGGCTATGGCCGATAGGTTGATACCCCGTCCCCCTTGGGACCCAGATACTCCGGAAACAAAAGAAAGCCTTCCGGTTAGAAGGGGCCCTGGCATTGACACACGTGCGGTTGTTGGATGGCACCCTACATTTCAATGTGCAAGTTGGTTGTGGGATGATCCTATAGGTAGCGGGCTGACTGAGCAAGGGTATAACTCCCTCCACTGAGTCTAATTCTTGCGCTCGGCCCCCTGTTCGATTCGTTTTCAGTCACTTCCGCACAAAGAATGAACGGCCAAAAATAGCGGATGAAAAGCAGGGAACCCTCGCCCGTTTTCCGCTGCCTCTGGGCAAATCAGAAGAATCGTCACGGCACAAAGGCGCCCCTCTTTGGCGCAGACGGTGAGGTGCTGAGCACACATACATATGCATATACACACGCGCCAGTGTAAAAAGACCGACTTGGATTGCTCGGGATGGTCATGAACCCTCTGGCAGGGATTTAGACAATAAAGATTTGTATTGAGGGAGTTGTTCTTGAGGGTACTCGCTCCGGGGTAGGTTTTTGACGAGGAAAGCCGAAGGGAAACCAACAATTTTAGGTCTTCTATGCATACACAGGTGTCACGCTAAAAGGATACCGTTTCTTGGGGTAGGGGTGAATGGGGGCTTTAGACAGCCAATGCAAGAGTATTCATGCAACGTGCATAAGCTGGCGAGCCACCATCAATATTCATTACCAGTCGCATCTAAGGGTTGGCCGCGCTAAAACAAATTATCACATTGACCACCGGCAACATTGCCAGTCGTAGCCTACCTTTTTAGTTGTTTTGCCTTTTGGGTTTTCCATCATGCTCCCTTTCAACCAGCAAAAGCTAACTTTTCTGCAGCGGCTAAGTCTGGTTGAGGTAAATGGAGCTCTTCATGCCGCAATTCTTCATTTGGGGTCTTCAGTTGCGTATTGGCCGTCAGCCGACAGACTCCCGTTCTGCCGCTCAGGGGTGACCGGCGCAATGGGGTGACTGCCAATTGACGGGCCTCCTTTATCTTTCAAAAGAGGCGGCGCTAAATGGCGTTGCCACAATGGCTAAAAGACATACATGTATATTAATGTAATACATACATACATATATATATATATATATCTTATGCATACATGCATACGCATACACACATTCATAATTGATAAACAAATACATCCAAAAAGCGAGTGCATGAATTAATGAATGAGTGCATGAAGGAGTGAAGGAACGAACGCATGAATGAATGAATGAATGAATGAGTGAATGAATGAATGAGTGAATGAGTGAATGAGTGAATGAATTAATTGATTAATTCTTTATTTAATAAATATAATCATCAAATAAGCAGGTAAGCAAATAAGCAATAAACAAGCAACAAACACAATAATAAGCATAATAATACTAGCAATCAATAGATAACACTAATATTGACAATTAGAATAATAGTATAGTAACAATGGTAATAATAGTGATAACAACATACACATATGCTCATGTCATACACGTACTGGTGCATTCACTCCAGAACTCCATGCTTCTGGGTGGTTTTTCGATTACTCGCCGGGTTCCCAGGACTTGGATCCAGACGTGTCGAAGGCGGTGAAGGCGTTCTTCCTGTGCATCAAGGATCCGAGCCGACTCGCGTGCCACTCAGCACGGCATGCGTAGATAGAACAAATATCGACGTCGGATAGAAAATGGTTGCGTGGCCCATCTATTTTCTACGAAGTCTCCGGAAGTGTGCTGACTGTACCTCTTGGTTTACCTGGCTGTTGCCCAAGGGAAGATTCGCCGGGGTCCCTTGAGCGGTTGCAAATGTTACCTGAAAAGGCTCAAGTCTCAGGTGAAGTGAGACGATCTCCTTTCCACAAGGTGCGACAATTCACCCTTTTGGGGCATGGTGTAGTAAGTGGACTTACCACTAGGGTCATTATTTTGAGGGTTTCTGGGGGTCATCAAAGTCAGCACATGGGACTGTTTCCCTTTAACCCACCACTTCGGGGGTGACTTTGATCATGGTAACATAATGAGGTGGCTTCTGAGGGTTTCACCAGAAAAATGAGTGGCTTCTGTTTGGGGGGCCAAGTTTCTACCAATCATTTCTCTGGAGAACGCCAGTTGATGGTTTTCCACCTTCTAGCGGAGGAGTCCGAGTTCGGCTCCATCTCGGAAACCTGGAAGCGAGCTTTTGATGCCGGGGGGCTCGAGGGAGAATTAAAAAAGCAAAATCGCTGCCCGGAACGGCTTGCTCCCCTGCAAATGAAGAGGTAACCTAAATTTGGGGTGCCCAAACGGAGATTCCTTCAAGAATGGCGGTTTCTTGGGTTCCATAATCTGCAGGGGAGCAAAGGTTTCGCCTTCGTTGTTTAAACTCAACCCACTATTTGTTTAGTAAGACATATGCGTATATATATATATATATATACTTGGGCAAACCTGCCCCAGTACCCCCTGCCCTGCAGCAGCGGGACGTATAAAGTGACAGGTGTACCGTTTGTACGCATATAGGATCCCTAGCATGCTACCCCAATGCCATCGCTACTGTCACGTGGTTTGTTGGTTCACCTTTTTGTTTCCAAGTTGAGTACATATTGCAATATCGGTCGAATATAGTGCAAGGATATGTGCTGAGTCCTTAGAGTTTGCTCAAGATTATTAACTCTTTCAACGACATTTTGAACGGAATTCGATTTCGTGATGTGAGACTCAAGTAACTCCAACAAGGTGAAACGAAGCTCAACATTTGAGAGGATTCAAGGCATCCGTGCACAAACGCCCGCCCGCCCACCCACTCACCCACCCACCCACCCACCCACCCACCCACCCACCCACCCACCCACAAACAAGCAAAGAAACAAAGAAAGAAAGAAAGAACGAACGAAACAAACAAACAAGCAAAACCAGCAAACAAATAAACAAACAAACAAACAAACAAAGGAACAAACACACAGGCGCGCACACGCACACGCACTTATACCAATCAGTCTTAAATGCTTGACACTTGTCCAAGCCAAGGGCCCGTTCCGGCACAAAGGCAGCTAGCTCCGTTGGATCATATTCTTGCCCTTGTTCGTTCACTCTCCAACCAAGTTCAACAAGGAGCAGGCCCACTTTGACCGTCGAACAATTGGTTGATGGTCCGGACCTTGCTTGTCCAAAGTCTGGAAGTGAATGGGCTGGGTGTTGGTCAAACTGAGCCAAAAACTGGGGAAGCAAGACTCTGACCCCTTTTCTTTCAATACACATGGGGTTAAAGCATCCAAATGCCCGCAGTCTTGTTTGAATCACACATTTTGTCCAGGCTTACACCTATACACCTGACTAAGTTATCGCACCAGAAGAAAAGGGTTGTGCTACTCGCGAGAGTAGTAAGAGTTGTGTTGCCTTCAATGAAGTGGAGCCACTACAGAATGCCAGCCAACTGTTTGTTTACCTACCGATTAGCGTTTTTGTCGACCATGTTTTGGGGTGAACCTGCGCAACAACAATTTTGGAGCAACATTGGCATGTTTTATCTCGGACAGCTATCAATGTCAACCGTCTGCTAGCTTCCACCACAGGCAACCTCCCTGTTGCTTTGCGGTCTTTGGGGGAGTTGCTCGTAAAAAACAGAATTCACCCGGCCGGACAAGGGTTTCACAAGAAAGGATTATTCATACTTACATAGAAACGGTTTCATGTTGCTTGTTTGCTGCTGTGTTTAAGTATCTCAGGAAGTTCTGTATCGCAGCGGATTGAATCAAAGGCAAACCCAGGCAACATGCGGTTTGCCCGGTTGCTTGGTATAGCTTGGAATCAGCTCGAATCAGGCGTGACTGCACCGAGCCCTCGAAGCCCCAAATTCAGATGCGCCAGGTGAAGAAGAGGCGAGTGGTCGGCCAGAAGGAGTTTGCGCAGGGCTGCGAGACCATCGGCTACACAGGCGTGATGGTGCGAGGCGGTCATATCCAGATCGTGCACCAGACAATCCGCTTATGTAGGCACATCAGTTTGTTTACTTGTTAGCCAAGCTGTTATATTGTTTGTTTGTCTGTCTGTCTGTTTGTTGGTTTGTTTGTTTTTTGGTTGGTTTGTTTGTTTGTTTTTTTGTTTGTGTCGCTTCAGGTTTGCCACCTCTGTGGCGTTTGCAAGATTTCAGGTGGTAGCAGTCGGCGTAGATGCCACCCAGACCCAGCCTTTCCAGTCGGGACTGCAGGTAGCATTGCTGTTTGCTCTTGCTTGGCTTCAGATTTGCAGGCTTGCTGTTGGGTTGCCGCCTTTGGTGGGATCACCGGAATCACTAGGGAAGGATTTGGCTTGTTGTTGGGTAACTCTCCGCATGTCTCACACCTTGGTCACTCATGGCTCGCAAACTCACAGATTTATAGTCAGGTCGCAGACTGGTGCTTTTTGTTTTGGGTCGGTTGAGCCCTGCAATCTGTACCTATTCGACGGAGGCTGCATCTCACACCAAGCATTCACACATATTTGTAGGATATTTCGCTGAGCTCAGAATTAGGATTAATCTATTCACACCCACACACGCACACATGTTGGAGGGGCTTCCTTCACCTTTAGCCGCAGCCTGCATCGGCTCCCGCATGCTCACAGAGCTGAGGGCATAGATTCACAGCTTGGAATCTGAAGTTGTCTTCCTATGTTGATGCTGAGACATCCGAGCGGGTGAAATAGGGATCAGGTCACCAGCTGCTAAGCTGCCACCCCATCTCAGCAGACTCTATGTACATAAGCCATTTCCTGGTACTCCGATGTCCTAATGAGATGAATCTTGCTGCCACCGGAAGCAGTCGGGAGTCGGGGTGTCAGGTGATGCAAATAAGCTCTTCCATTTGCTGCAGCCCGACCCTGGCCGAACGCCTGAGTCTGAGTGCTAGCTGGTGCATATGTGCCATGATCAGAAGACCACCTTACTTAGTGCTAGTCGGGATGGTCATGCAGCCGTTAGCAGGGAGTTGTTAGACAAGCATGGTACGACTACTGCAAGGGTTCGTATCAAGGGAACCAGGATCATAGCCCACAGGAGGAGATTTGGCCAGAAGGCCTCTAGCTATGGCTGAGCAGTCGATATGTTTGCACTTGCTGATATGGAGTGATGCTGCCAACTTCGGATTTAGCGCCTTCAAAACAGTTAGAGAGTTCGGGATTGAGCGCCTTCAACACAGTTCGAGAATTCGAGATGTGGTTCTCCGCTATGTTATTGGGGATCGATTTTTTTCCCAGGGACCCTGTTCCGTTCAATTGCTTATTCGAGCTTTGATGGATTGTGTGTTTCTTGATGATTCGTTGAGGTGTTGTGGTTTGGTCCACGAACGTACTCTTGCTTGATTTTGCTGTTTACTTGCTTCTAGGTCCTAGGTGCCGAATCCCTCATAATTGCGAACCCTGGGATAGCACAGACACATTACCTACTGACCTACTCAATTGTCAGGTCTCCCCAATAAGATAGCACCCCCTTCTCAATTGTCAGGTTGTTGGATCTGTGGGCTTCCTTCCCACTTCACACCTGGTCCGATGTCCACTTGGCTGTGGCTCACCTCGAGGTTCCTGGAGCTCGCAGACCTGGGCCGCCACGCCGCCGAGACCGTGAAGACGGACGAGGAGGCGAACCGAAACCGGGACCAACCAAGCGCGAGAGCCACGTCGATTTTCCCCGGGGGGGAGGGTCCTCGGGGGGTCCTGGCGAGTTCTGGCGGGTCCTGGAAGACAATTTTCCTCCAAGAGGGGGACCTGTGGACGGGATTTTGTTTCTTTCGGTTGGCCAGCTCTCGGGTTGCTGAATTGACCCATTTGCAACCAGTGGGCGATGTTTTCATACGACTTGTTGGACGGGGTTTCCTTTAGTAAATACGGGCATTCTGCGCAGTGAGACATTCAGCTTTGGACTTCAAATGCAAATCCAGGTAGTGGAATCCTTTCCAAGATGAGCAACTGGGGTCCAATAGGCAGTGATCGGTTCTGCAAGATTTACGTGTGTTTGGTCTTCCAGTTGCAGTTCAACTTTGGCGTCCAGCCAGAGGATCCAAATCGCCGCATAGAGACATACTGTGTGGAAACCACCCTTCCCGGCACTTCCCCACAGAAGGGGTTGGCAGACAAGTGCCCGTCCATGAGGAGACGTCTCAAACGGGAAGTACTTGTTGATGCAGGCTACAGCAGCTTCAGCTTGATTTCTCGCTGCGAAACTTCTGCACCATTTAGTAGGAGGTTTCTTCGGGTTTCATCCATCTCGATTGGCGCGATGTGGGTGTTGTTCATTGACATTTGCCAGGCGGTGTTTTCGATTCGGATGGTGTTCAAGGAGACCAAGAGAAAACAAGCAATTTGAGCTGTTGGAGATTTACTCGGTGCATTTTGGTTTGCCCGGGTTTCCTTCGCTGTCACTTGGGTTCCTTTCATTGGGTTTCACAGCATTCCAAAGCAACCCATAGGGAACCCAAGGGAATCAGCATTCCTCCCAAAAGACATAAGGCCCCGTATCGGCCAGAAAGGTTCTCATATTTTGGAACCCTTAGACAGTTCTAAGAGTCGTTCCAGAAGGAGTCAGCCAGATGGCGGCGTAAAACCATTCCGAACCAAGAGAAACGATTAAAAAGGACTCACTTGACAGAAATTATTTGGTTGGTTGACATGTCTCTCGATCCTTTGCCATGAATGTGAGGCGGGGCAGGGTTGCGCAAAATTTGTTCAACAATCACCCCCTGATCACCCCCTGATCCTTGAAAGGGAAGCCAAAAAGGAGGTCGTTTCAACAGTACTGATTGAAGCCATGGTTGAAACACCGGTTCGGCCCGGCCGGGGGGTTGCCCGTCGATGGTGCCAGGTGGTGAAGGTTCTGAAGCCCTTCTTCCTTTGCATCCAGGTGTGCTGAGCATGGCATGTAGCACATGTACGTTGTGTAAATGTATGCATACATGCATAGTGCAAACATGTGTATGTATATATATATACTGCAGTATATATATATATATATATGTATGTTATACCACATTTGTGTGAACATGATATATGCACATGCACATTTACGAATTTAAATGTATAGTCCTGCATACACATACATCTACATGTGTATCATATGTACAGACATGGGTACCCCTGGGGGGCAGCAGCGTGAAACATACACGTACCTACAGCTAGCATATCGATCGGATATATATATATATATATATATATATATGCATAATACATGCACATGTATACGCATGGGTAAATTCTTGTAGAGCCAATGCACGGAAACTGAATGTGGCAACCTTTCTGGGTTTCTCTCAGGTTTTACGTCAGTTGTTAGAGGTCTCAGCGATCCCCGCAAGCCACCTGGGACCTGTAGCAGGAACTTCCTTGCCGCATACCACAGTGATATGCAGGATCATGTTTAGTATGTTTTGGTATCTCCTTCAAGCGATGTGAGTGTTTCAGGTTTCCACTTGTTTTTTCTTTACATTGCATCGTGTTGGGTAATTCAGGCCTTCGACACATGGCTAAATGAAACACAGAAAGGATGTGTTGATTTATAATACAGGCCAGCGCAGAGTCGCTTGTGTGTGTGTGTGTGTTTGAACGTGGTTGTTTTACCTTGAGCTCCTGATCAATTCAGCGTTGGTGTCCCACACTAGTGTCCTTGGACAAGGCATTGGGAGGGAGAGACCTCATGTTGCAACGGATCATTGATACTTGCATAAGTAGCGGTCTGAGGGCTGCGAGCGCGGGTTTGAGACCTGCTCTCAAGAGGCTAATGGTTGCCTTCGACTCGATACGTACCATGACGGTTGGCCATTGGCGCTTGACCCTGGCAAGCATGCGATCATGTATCCCTCGAACTCTCTGCGGGGCCTATAATATACGCATTTGTGCTTCAGCTTAATGGCTTGACAATCGCTTTCCACAAACAACAAGTCGTTCCCTCCACTTGACTTTCTGTCACCTCAAACTGGTCGACAGCCTGCTTCCGATGAAAGCCTTGCTGAGGGTCGCTCTTGTTTTAAGGTAAGCTTGCATCAACCAATAAAACAGTTTGTTCGTTCGGCCAACGGTTAAGTTCCGACAGTCGACGGCAACGCCTGCCGTTTGGAAAGAGAAGGAGGCAGAGAGAGGGAGAGAGAGAGGGATGGAGAGACATCGTGTCAGGACTCTGAATATAGCTCCGTCCAAGAAGCCTGGAGAAAGGCCTTTGATGTCGCGCCGGCATGTTTGGATCGCTGAGACCTTTGCTGAGTACATGGGGCCTCTACATTGTAGGTGCAGATGGATTTCCTTCGCGACGTGGGGGCCGAAACGCTCCCAGTCTTGCGAGGTGAACATACACAATTCTTGCAGGTAGCTATATGCTTGTTCTGCCCCAGCCCGGTGTTTCATTGTCCCAAGTCAGCCCAAGCTGGTCAGGTTTCAACTTTCCCACCCACCCAAACCGCATCAGGATGCCTTTGGTTATATCCTTTTCCGAAACGAGTCACAGGGCAGGGATCTGCGAATGGAAGTTTTGTTGCCGATGGAATCGTGTTGTTGGTCAAATTTGGTTTCCCACAGAATTTGGCTTGGGAGAGCCACAGTAGGTAAGGAAATGGACTTCCGTGCGTGCACCCAGTTGATAACCTGAGCTCGACGCAGAGAGACCCAGTATTTCAAGCCACCATAGTAATTACCAAGTTGGCCACTTGTTTAAACCCTAGGTTTTGACTCATCGTGGGTTTTGCTGATTGCCTGTAGCTGGTCAAAAAGCATCGATTTGAACCACAAGGTTGACCAGTCCTGCTACCTATATCTAATATGCCGCGCTCATTGTTTTGCTTCTTTCTATGATCATGGGGGTGGGCACCTGTTTGGGAAATCTTGCTTTGAAAGGGAAGTTGGCCAGATGTCAAAGCCAGCCTTTGTAAAGGGAACTTGTCGTACGTGCGGATAAGATCCAGCAGGTATGATGGATTCGCACTGAGCGCGGATGCCAAAGAGCGTGATGCCAGGTCGACCGAAAAAAGTACATCGACAAGAATGTCTTCGCCCAGGGCTGCAGTACCATCGGCTTTGAAGGCAAGCGGTTTGTCTCTCTGATGTGTGCGTGTGTCATTGCTTTCAAGGCACCCTTGTTCGGAGTGGGGGGAAGGGAAGCCAAAAAGAAAAAGCGTATTTTTTTTGGACCCCTATTTTGACATACCCGCATGATGTGTTTATTTTAAGGTTGGCGAAACATGAAGCAGAATCAGAACATGTTGGGGTTACGTGCTGGGAAGGGTTCTGAGGGTGAGCTGGAGCCGGGAAGGCTGGGGAAGTGTGCCTTGGAAGAGCCTAGGCGTGCGCTTTTTTGACGGCACCCTTTTTGGGAGTTGGTTAAAAGGGAAACTAACAGGACACCCAGCATTTTTGGAGTCCTATTGTGACACATACCCGACAGAGACTACACGCCATGAACTTGTGATTCTTCCTCGGTTTGGCTCCATCAAGTTCAACTGAGCCGATCCCATTAGTTGCGGCTGCCAGGGCTTGAACAAAGCATGGCTGTCCAAATCGGTACCTGCCAATTTAGCAGAGCAAACCTTGTCTTATCCTTAAGCGCTGTTGGGATTGTGTAGCTGCCGCAACCGCCGTAGCATGTGTTCACCTTCAGCTAGAAGGAATGTGTCAACACCGGAGGGTTCAATACATTCCCACTTCGCTTTGCCATGATTGCTGATAATTATAAACTTTGGGGCCGGTTGAACGGGATGTTCTTTTAACAAGCGGATGTTGAATGGCCAATTTTGGGAATGCAGCGAATGTTTCCCCATCTCTTCAAAGCTGGAGGGTTTGAGTCCCCGTGAGAATGCCAGGTGATACTGACAAGCTGTTTTATTTGATGAAGCCGGAGAAGTCCAAAGTGTCTGGAGCCCAAGCCAGTGACGATAGCTGTGATCAGTTGGCCCTTGCTCTCAGCATGCTGTCGGATCCAGGGCCGGCCCACGGAGAGAGATGGTAGCCCAGTGTGGAGAGAGGTGATCACCTTGTCACCTGTGGCCCATGTCGGCTTTTCACACAGGCCAGCATGAACGTGGTGCTTGCTTTTTTGTTTTTCTTGGGGAACATAAAAAAAAAAAAAAAAAAAAAAAAAAAAACGGTAGTAGTAGTTAGCGCCCAGTTCAGCTCTGGGGCATGGGTACACCTTCACTTCACCCTCTTAGGACTCATGCGCCTTGGCATACAGCATGTTTTGTGGTCATGCGGAAAGAGGTGAGTCAAAGGCAACCCTCCCGGTGCGGGTGGCTATGTGTTCAGAGGGTGTTTAGTGTCGAAGCCCGCTCAATTTTTCGATCCGCTGGCAAAGCATTTGCTGTGCTCACCTTGTATTGGCGAAATGCAGAGCAACCTTTTTGTGCCCCTTCCGTTCAAGAACTGATTTGTTTTCATCTGAAAGGGGCCTTCGGCAGAGTCCATGTTGGAGGCAGAGTGCTTTTTGCAAGGCTTTCACTTCGAATCCCGTTGCAGATAATCTAGTTCTTCGTGCTATGTGTGAGCGTGTGCCAATGTTGTTTAAAGGGTACTCTGTTTGTCGTGGGCGTACAGAGCAACTAAAAGGCCCCCCACCTCTTTTGGGGTTCCTCCAATTTGGGTATGGGTCAAAATTAAACCACCCGGGACCGCAGGCTTTCTGTCCTTGGTTCCATGTACAAGGGACCCACACCGATTTGACAAACAACACCATGTTCCTTGCGTCAAGCGCAATGATACTGAGCTCCTCAGGGGCCCGGCGTCTCCGAAGAGCCGCGCCAAGGAAGAGCTGAAGCCTTAGCCATGATATGGGCTCAGGGGTCACAAAACTGCGGCGCCTGGTTATGAAAGTCATCAATCTGTTGACAGTTCCTGGGATCAGGGTCATAATTCTGGCCGTTTCTGATGACTAAAGTCATGAGTCAGTCATTCTTTTGACTGTTCCTGGGGGTTATCAATCAAGGGTGATGATTTTGACTTCTTCTGGTTATTAAGATTATGAACACTGTACTCGCAGATTGACTGGAGTCAAACCATTCCGCTGTTCCGCTGGTAGACATCAAAATTTCCAGCTGGAGCTGTTTCGCTCGACCGAAATCTTGCAAGGCCCGCAGAAATGGATCCCGTCCACAAGCGTGGCCTCGCAGAAGTTTGGCAGAGTGCCCCATTTCTGGGGGCAAACACCTCCGCTTGGCGAACCAAACGAGATCTGAAGGTGGCCCCGTACCCAAACATTTTGTCTGGGGGTTTTGGACAAGGGTCATGATTATGCTGGTTTCAGAGTGCGGCTTCCCCAGAAAAGTTGTTGGACACCAATCAACGTTATCGAGTAAAACTCATACCCATGGTTCCCCTCAACAGGTCGTATGAAGCATTGTTTTTTGGAAAGGCCAGCGAAGTGAGTTCCTGTTTGGGGGTTGATGTTTCAGAAACAAGGGACCTCAAGAAGTCAACCCAAAAAGGCGTCAGTGTGACCCGAATGTTGAGAAACCCGTATTGCCACTTCCACACTTGAGTCACGCAATGTTTCAACGCTAGCAAGTCCTGGAAACGCGGCCAGGTGGCTTACTTTCTTACATACATGCATGCATGCATGCAGACAGACTTACAGACATACAGATATACATACATACATACAGACATGCAGACACACAGACAGACAGACAGACAGGCAGAGACAGGCAGAGACAGACAGAGACAGAGACAGAGACAGAGACAGAGACAGAGACAGAGACAGAGACAGAGACAGAGACAGAGACAGAGACAGACAGGCAGGCAGGCAGGCAGGCAGGCAGGCTACGGCTCTTTGGTATCTTCTTCCGCTTGGGGCCGTTTCCCTCATCTCAGCTACAATGAACCCTGCTACGCAGGCCGGCGACGCGCCAGTGTGCTGGCAACCGCTCACTTTCACGTTCACAGCTTGCTGCTGCGGATTTAGCCCGCATTGGGTCAGAATAGCGTCACTTTGAGGCCTCTACTGGGACAAATTATTTGCGTGGAAGTCTGCATTTAACCTGGGCGAGCTGCGTTAAATACAGACATTGTATGAAAGCCCCTCCCAGCCTGATGCAGAGCCCAACAACGTGAAACACTTCCGAGAAGGCTTCTTTACCGATCTACTTGGCCTCATAAGTCTTTGAATCTTGTCAGCCCCACCGACTGAGCTCAAAAAACCCGGCCAACTGCGCATATGTGGGCAGCCCGCGTCCGATACAGGCGGCATTTTGTTTTGAAGCCTTTTTTCAATCTGCAGAGGGGTTAGACAGGCAAAACAAAAAACAAGAAGAACACATCAATGCAAAGTATCGGCCGCAGGAACAATGCCTTCTGTTGTTCAGACATGGCATATGTTAAACATTTTACACGAAAGCCTGAGAACCTTCAATTTTGCGGATATTTAATCTTCTGCATTCTATGAGAGTTGGGAGGTTTGCTTTGTGGGAGTGTTTAGATCTCGGGATGTTGTTTTTGAACGAGGGCCGTCCAGTGTACATTTTGAACTCATGATATATTAATTAATGCATACAGATATTCACACAAATGTAAACACGCACACGAATACACAAATATGTGTGTGTCCTGCCCGAGGTTGCTAGAGTTCGCGGACTTGGTGCGAAATGCGGAGAAGGTTGCCAGATCTGATGAGGAGGACTTGGGGATTTGTCATTTTAGGTTTTGGAATGAAGCTAACATTTGCAGGTTTATCACGAGAAACAGCTTCGGGCGCTTGAGTGAGAGGTTCTACTACTTTATGTAGCCAGGATGGTGGTAATTTACTCGCCGGGATTTGCCAACTTGTTCATCATGTAGTAAAGGCTCAACTAGTCTGAACATTAACAGTCTTTGACCTACCCCCCCCTGTGCGATACAAAAGAGGAGCGCCTAGTTTACCCAATCCCCAATTTTAAGGTTTAGAATCATCCGCCATGTTGCAGAATTGAGTAGCACCTCTCACATTGGGTGGCTTCCACGGAGTCGCCTGAGCCAGATAGGCAGATGGTCGATGGTTCCTTTCGCTCGCTGACCAGCTCGGTCACTGAACTTGGGCAATTGGCAGCGAACCCCACCCTTTTGTGTCAGCAAAGCTTCACATGCTTTGATGGTGTTTGTTAAATCAGACATTACTTATCTATCAGAAACGACCTCAAGCCCTGGAAATGAGTCAAGCATGGGATCCATTGTGTCAACATGTTCCAGTGGTGGTGGTCCTTTTGGTTTCTCAGGGTGACAAGGGGCAACTCCAAATACAACACCATTTTGAACCCAGAGTTTTGGGAGATGCATAACACCACATCACACACTTATGCGGGTGTGTGCTTCTTGAAAACACTCTTCTAACGTTGGTCCGCTTTCCAACTCTTTACATAGCCTATATTTTTTGGTTTCCCTGAGAATCATTCGCAACAGTGATCCTTCCCCCAACTCTGAAGACATCTACATAGTTGTGCATGTGTATATGTTTATGTATATATATATAGAGGCAAATTCACCCCGTTTGCGTGAAGGTGTTCCTGAACTAAGGACCTAGCAACTTCGGCGAATGTCCAAAGGCATTTGGCTGAGTACGCTTTTCGCTCATGCATTGACAGGAGTCCCGGCAAGAGCCAGCTGATTGAGAGGCGTCGTCACCTTGGCTTGGCAGCCAGATTGGGCCTTTGCCCAAGGCAAGGCCATGTTGGGGGGTTGCATCAAAGCTCTATGTGCCCTTCTGTGAAGAATCCTCCCCCCCCCCCCGTCGAAACCCCCAGTGACACTTTTGACGGGATTTTCTGGAAAGCCCCCAAAAGTGGGCGAACACCTTTGGGACAACCTCCAGGTGACAATGTTTCAGCCACAGATGTGGATGTGTGCGGGCTCGCTTGCAGACAATATGCAGCAGGTTGCGTTGCACGGGTATCGAAGCCATCGCGATGCTTGTTGGATCATGCCAAGATGGGACCTCAAAGGTGATGTTGGAGGCAAATCACCCTGAAACAAAACAATGAGGCCCTTTTGTTCGATATTTGATTCACGACATGCGTTTTGTTTCTGCCGCCACGGCGCAGTCCACACTGAGCCGCCGATCTTACCCACTGGCTGAGCCAATGTGGGATTTATGTTGAGCCAGTCGGGGCTGTTGGTCAGCGCAAAAGCCTAGTGAGCCAAGTTGCCTACCTCAGCGACTCCCTATTACCAGGTAAAATGATCCTTGCCGAGAAGAGGCCTTCTCAAGATGATACAGTGCTCCAAACACGCAACTGTCAGTTTCTGACGGTTGCTGGCCGAGGCTTGAAGGCTTCCCTTGCAACTTGGCTCACTTGGGATTTCCTGCCTGGCCTGCGCAAGTCTCAACGGTTCGCACTTTCGGCACCGGCCAAGTGCCCAGGCCGCGGAGTTGGGTTCAGGGGGGGAGTTGTCCGCCCAGGCGACTCGCGACGCCCGGGCTGTGACGTAAGCTGAGCGCCTGAAAAATCCGCAGCCGTCTGAACATGGATTATAAGCGCTTCCCTCTATTTCCCAAAGCTCAGGGATGCTTGGTGTACCGATTCGGCATGGGGTCCTTGATTCTAGGAAAAGCTGAGTCGCCTGTGTTCAGAGCGATTTCTATTGAACAGAACACGAAGGCCAATAAAGCCTATACACTGTAATGCCCTTTTCGGAGATCCTAGCATGGTTTTCAGCGCTCAAACTGTGATTAGGCTCTCACCACGTGTTTTCTTCCAATCAAGTTCTCGGCTTTGGTCTTTTCAGCGGTCTTTGCGCCGCGTCGCGCAATTCTTTCAAGGCTCTTACCGGCAATTCCCCGGGTAAGGTAAGCCTCGAGTGGTGGTTCAGGGTTCGTGCAGCTTTGAAGCCGAGGAGATTTGAGTCGAAGCTGGCTGTTTGCTGCTGTCTGCCTCAAAGCCAGACTAGGTTGCGCAGCCGTGGCATTTGATTCGCTTGGCCGCTTGGGCAAGCTAGTGCAGCCACCAACCCGAGCAGCTTGGTCCCAGATGTTTTTGTCCATCCCAGCACGGAATGTGTGGAGAGCCACTCGAAAGGGTGTTATGAGGCGTCAACAAACAGCATCCAAGTGTGTCCTGGAGGATGCATTGTTTTCCTTGCCTCTCCTGTGCTGACAGTAGGCATCCCCTCCCAAAGGGCGGATTTCCGTTTGATTTCTTTTCGTGCCACACACACTCAGACAGACACTCGCACGACATCTAGCCATCACTTGCGGTGGATATAGCGAAAGGTCAGGAGCCATGCTGCGCGTTGTGGGCCATGGAAGACACATGGCGCGCCGCATGTTGGCGTGCTCGTCTCAGTGGTCGAGGTATAGCGATAAGGGTTTTACCTGAAACTTGAAAGTTGGATTTCCGGTGCCAAGCCCGAAGCAGCCGTCGCCACAAGTAAATCCCCCTTTTGGGACCCATCTCAAAAAGGGAAAGCCATGGATTTGACGTCGTTAAAGTGCTGAGGGTCCAGCACAGGAGAAACAATCAGCCCACTTTCCAGAAAAGCTAAATGCTTCCTACTTTAGTAAGATTGCGGAGATAAAGCTTTCAAGCATTCCAAGCATCCGGGGTGGGATGCATCCCTGAATCCGACTTTTGGAAGGGACTTGTGAATGCAAGGGACGGGGTATTTAGACGCCTTTATGGAGCATCCTGGCAGGCTTTAGCTGAAAGGGAAACGTATATGAGAAATCCGCCATGTTGAGGGTTCCAGTTCCCTAAAAGATGCAACATGACGCACCACATGCGTGTCTTTGCGTCATTGTTACATTCCCAGAGTCAGACCCGGAGGATTTCCCAAGAATTGTCGGCCAAGTCGAGGTCCCAGACAGAGCCGGAGCCTTGGTGTGGGACTCGCTGGGGAAAGTGCAGGCGAAGCGCTTTTTCTTCAGGGTACCCTATTTTCAGGCACACACAACTAGCAATGTTGCCCGAGGTTATGAGGCCATGGGTCAAAATCCCGTACCCCCGGTGAACATCCCAGTCCCCACTAAAATAGACTACTATGGGTGGTGTACCTACCCCAAAATGGTACCATTGGTTTTGACCCGCAGCCATGATGTGAAATGGCCCGCTTAGATCGCTGTTGGGCATTGAGGAAGGCGGTGCATGCCTTCCGGCGTCGAGCCGCGCACGGAGCCCCTGAGTCCATGACCTGTGAGATCGGCGCTCGTTTTTTTCTCTTTTTCGTCAGGGTCTATTTTGACACATGCATTGAAAACTTGGATGAACCAACAATTCCCTGGTCCAATTCCTGTCAAGTAAGCTGGGGTTCCTGTTGATATTGAACAATCTAGAGATTTGTTTCAAACCAGGGCTTCAACCAGGAGTTGGCCCAACCCTGCCTCCCTTTGAGGATACTCTTTAATACTCTTTGTGGCCTAGACATTTAGGTGCCCTTTTTGTCGAGTGGGGTGCCCGTTCTGCTAAGTGTTTCAAGGCCTTCACCTTACCCTCGAAAAGTTTCAAAAAATGGGGGCCAAGGTCAACTCGCCTGTTGTGGCTAGTTGTATGCCAATTGCTTTCAAATTTGTCTCCAGTTTCAAACTTGGCCTTCTGGATTTCTCGGCTGAAGCTCTGGAATGCCCAGAGGCGGGCCATTGAGCCAGTGAGGGGGCCAGCCCGTGTGTTCTGTGGGCATGAGCGGGTTCCACCCTTTCCCTCTTGTTTGGTGGGTTTCAAATCCGCTAAACTTGGAATCGACCCCGGAAGAAATGGCGTCCTTTTTCCAGGAGGGCCGCAAGCCTTTTGGATGTTTCCTAAACCAGAAGCAAGCCTTTTGGATGTAGAGTGAAGGGAAGCCAACCACTCTGCAAGCTGGTGAAAAGGACACGGAAGTTACCCTCAGATTGGGGCAATCCCTCCTATCTTGTGACAAATTTTACCTTACCTGGGATCTCTCAGTATTCTAGACAGGGCAGACCAAATATGAATTTCATGACCTGACAAGTTCTACCTCTGGTGTACCCTCTAGTGTACCCTGGTGGTTTTCCAAGTTTGGGTCCCGATATTCAAAAACCAACAACCACTTGTGGGGATCTCTGGTTGCGTTTCAAGGCCGGACCTTCTGCTGCCGGCGCTGGAGAGACCCGGCATGACCTCTGATCCCCAGTTCAGCGCATACCCCGGAGAAGCGATATGTGCCAGCTGGGCGGATGTGGGGTGGCCATCGGAGGTGTTGGCATGTAATTCTTGAGTTGGCGAATGTTTTGTTGGTTGATCGCATGGTAGAAATCTTCGATTTAATCCTTTCCAGGATAACAGCAATCACTAGGCTTGCTTTGCCGGCAGTGCCGACTTCTTTCTGACAAACTGGTTCTTCGGGGATTCACTTTGTGGTTTAGAGCAGGTAATATTTTGCGACAACTGATCCCTGGAGTTGATTCCTTTGAGGGGTACCAAATACGGGCAGCGGTTGTTTTGCTCTCCATCGAGGATGTCAACCGCTCGTTGGCAATGCTATGGCCTGATCGCATCACCTGTCCAGGCCCCGTTTCAGCAATGTTCAACGTGCGGATGGTAGAATGCGGCTTTCAGCATCGCTATGATAACAATGGGTATTCAGGGACCACCATCCCGAATCTTGGGGCAACACAACCTGGCTGTCCACCTTGGCCGCTTGCAACTGGATTCACTGGGAAGTAGTCGCCGCCCCAGACTCGCCAAATTGAAGGGAACCGTTGTGTTCGACCAGTGACCGGCAAACTCGCAGGCCCGAGCTCCTGGTTGAAGCTTTGACCTCTGCTTGAAGAGGCAGCAAGCCTATGCAACAACCTGTATTCGTTCCAAGAAAATCCTAACGCAACCACCCCGCAAATCTGAATGAGGAACATTGGGAATCAATTTGGAAGTCAGCATGAAACAATTTCAGGACTGGGGTCTATGGCTTGCAGGAATGACAAGGAAGAACCAGCCGCCACGGAGACAGCTACTGTTCGGGTGCAAGGCCCCTGTCACTAGGATCCTGGTACCTCGCTTGGGCACAGCCACGTTTCACCTTGACAGCCACGTTTCACCTTGGACTACCTCCCTCGCTTTAGGCGAGTCTTTGCGGAAGATTGCGGACGAGGAGGCTCCGTTCTGTTTTTTTGTCATGTGCCCGGATTGCGGGCAACCATTAAGTTTGCGCGAAGTACTTACTTTAGGTTAGTACTTCCAAGATTTACGCTCAGATTCCCCGGGACTTACTTCAGTACTACCAAGGCTATGACTAAATTTAGTATTGCCACGACTTACTCTCACATTTGCTGGAACTTACGTAAGTATTACCAAGACCACATTTAGTATTGCCAAGACTAACTCTCAGATTCCCCGTACTTGCTTTAGTATTGCCAATTCTACTTAGCTGGGAAGAGCCCGTCTTTTCAGCAACCCCAAAAAAAGTTGGACACTAAAGGGGACCCCAACAGAGGATCAAGCCTCTTGTGGGCAACCCCTTTTGTGTGACTGGTTGCCTGCACTATGTTGTAAAGAAGCTATCTTAGATTTGTTGGTTTGGGGACCATTTCAAAAATATATTTCCAAATGTTTGCCCGGATTTGTTTGCCCGCTTGTTTGCCCAACTTGGTTGCCAAGTCTTGTTTTGTCTGAATTTGTTTCTGGCTGTTTTGAGGCTTGCCACAATAGAAGACCCCGAAACAGTCACAGGATCCTGAATTGCAAAAAGGACAGTTGCTACACTATAGAGGCCCCAATTCCGATCAGGTCTGATATGAATCCCCAATCAGGAGACCTTATGTATAGATGCGCTCGTTATTTGTAATCGGGTGGATGGGTGGGTGGGGTGGGGTGGGGTGGGGCGGGGCGGGGCGGGGCGGGGCGGGGCGGGGTGGGTGGGTGGGTGGGTGGGGGGTTCCTACCACTTGTTGAGGATACCGATACAAGACAGCATACGCATGACATTTGCATGTGCCAAGATATGGAGAGCCCCCAAAACCTGCGGTCCTCAAAAACACACTCGTATATGCGTGAAAGTACATGGATATACAAGCGCATATATTTGTACATTTGTGACTGTATAAGTGTTGTTTGCCGTAGAGGCTTCAAAGGTGCACCAACCTGCATCTTGAGAGCATCAGGAAAGCATCGCGTTTTATGGGTCGACAGCTAGAACTCCTTTGCAAACATAAGAAGAGCATTGTGATGCCTTGTAGAAGTGTCTCCTGCATTCTTTGCAGCTGTCACGTTGAGATTCCTCCCAAAGCCTTTCAAGTACTTCAAGGGGTTGAACAAACGGACCCTGCGCGTGATCATATCATATTTGGTTGCATTCTAAACATTACCGAAGGAAAGGGAATCAAGTCTTCTCTTCTATCATGTCATCCTTGCCCACAGAAGCAATCTTAGGATGAAAGAAACGCGAGATCCCTCTTTCTCTTTTTCATGCAACACCACTTGGGTGGTCTGCGACTTGAATGGAGGAAAGAGATGTGGCTGTGGGTCAAAACCAATGGTCGATTTTGGGGTAGGTACACCACCCATTTGAGTCTGTTTTAGTGGGAATTGAGATGTTCACCGGGGGTACGGGATTTTGACCCATGGCCATGTGGAGAAGGGACCGACATATACCTGCCTTCACATCGCAGGTGGCCAAAGAATTGGGCGACTCGGCCCCCCAGGAGGCCGAAGAACCAAGCAGAAGCCATGGGCGTGGTTGACAAATCGGGGAGTCTCTTGAAGGAATTGGTTCCTTTTTGGTTGCTCCTTAAACCAACTTCAGCAGGTGGTAGCCTGAAAGCAAAGAAAAATCACACACCGCCATGGTTGTGGGATATGGTTTTAGGTTGCCGTTCTCTTTGATTTATTCAATAAGGAAACTAAGTAGTCATGCAGCTCTGATATCACAGAGAGAGGTATTTTCCATCACCATGATTTATTCCCGCGGACTCACGCATGACAAGAACAACCCCTCTTTTAGACGAAACGTCTTTGTTGGTTTGCAAGAGAGTAGTAAAGGGTTCTACTACCTGGTTCAGTGCAGAGCATAATCAGGCCCAGCGCACATCAATCTTTGGGTTTCGGGAGCTTTTCAGGTTCTATTGAATTGGACTTGATACGGAGTCGGTTAGATTTGACGTCCAAATAACGGGGACCCAGGGGCTGCATTTTGATTCGAAGGAATAAACAAGTTAGCCCTCCAAATGACAGTCATGGATCCTTTGCTTCGGGGGGAGGGAGTAGACAACAAGCAGAAGGATGATTCTTAACAAGCATGCCCGTTTCCCAAGAGGACAGCACAATGTTGTACTCCCCGTGTTCAGTGTGTTGCCCTGGCTTGATCAGGTGATTGAACGCATACAGCTTGGCACTGAGAAGCTACCAACAGCTTGCCTGCACCATACGCAGCAGACATTGACAATATGTACGGAATAGACATACATATGTATACATATATATATATATATTGCATACGTGTATCCCAGAGTTGGGTCTAGTCTTGATTCCTGGCATGGGAGTTGATTGCGCAGTATGCGCCGCCGCAACGTGGCCGCAAAGACTCAAAGCTGCCGTCCTAGAACTCCACCCATGTGTGAGGAGGCTTGGCCTGCGCTGCAAGAAGGGGAACTTGGATGGTTGGAAGCAACTGACATGCAGAGAGGAAGTTGTGCTGCATGTGCATCGGAGAACCAGGAAGAACTTGGACGGTTGGAAGGAGCAATGAGTTGACTTAATTGGCTTCTTGCTACAGTAGTGAGTGGAATCACTGGGGGTTGACTGTGGGTTGACTGTGCTTTCTGGGCTGCAAGATGCGTTTTTTCCTGGACGTCTTGTCAAGGCGTGGGGTGTTTTTTAGGCTACATTCCTAGAGTCTATCCCCTCTGATGAGTCTCATTCATGCCACCTTCTGGACATCTGAGAACTCTGGTAAGGCTCTAAAAGATGAGAGGACCGAGAGAGGTCATTAGGGCGCCAGCAGCTGAAACTGGAACATCAGATTGGGCGCCACACTAAGGGGCCATGGTCAAGAGATACTTGGGGCGAGGAAAAGACTACTACTGCTTCCCGAAGTAGAAAGCCGCTCCATCAACCATTTGTCAATGTTTGAGGAATCAACCAAATCTTAGGCCTCGCTTTTCTGTTTGCTCGTCTCGGCTATTTGGCCGTTTGTCTCTCACTTTCTCTCTGCTCCTTAATTCGCTCTTTTTTGCTTCTCTTCTCCAAGCTTTCTCTTCGCTGTTCGCTCTTGTTCACGTTCTCCTCCTTTTCCACCCTGTCCTTGTCTTTACTTCTGTTCACTCCTCGCCAAGTTTGTTTCCGTTCTTTTGGCTCCTTTGTTTGCACTTCCGCTTGTTTTCCAAACCCTTCTCAGCGCTCTTCTCACACAAATCTGCCATGTTACTTGTTGTCAAGTTCGTGCGCGAGTCTAATAGGTAGACAACTTGGCAACGTTTGTTCAGTCTTTTGAGTCCTTCCAGTGCCAAAGTTGAAGAACTGCAACTGATCACCAACTGTGATCAGGGACGCCTCCAAGGCTTTTGTTTGATGCTTGTTTTCTTCCGCGGACCTTCGAGATGGACAATGGGCCCGTGCCAATGCACGCTAAAATCCTTTGCCTATGTTCATGGTTTTGAAGGGGTAAATGGTAGAGCTTTCATACTGAGCTGACTGCCATCAACCGCCAAGGGTCTATTTCGGCAGGTCTTTGAAGTTTGTACAATGTTCTATAAGAGAGACTAGATAGCGACACATTGTTCTCCTATGAGGTATTTGTTGTTGTAAAGTCCCCCTCAAGCCCATTCTAAGTAGGTCCTTTTCTCTTCCCCAGTTTGCTTTTTTGTGGGGGAAAATTCATGTGGTGAACACAAGTCCGGACTTCGGACCAAGCCGATTCAATCCGCTCGGAAAGTGAGCGCTAGGTTTTTGTAGACGATTCAATTTGCTGGTGCTCAGTAGGGAATGAGGAATGAAGCTGGGGATTTTTTTCCAGGAAACCACAAGGGATGGTTTATAGGGGTCATTCCCTGCTGAGCACCAGCAAGTCACTGGATCCACAGCGCAGACCAATGGCCTGGCTGCTGCTATGGCTTTGGGCAGCCCATGGACTGAAGGCTGGATCAGATCCGAGGGAGATAGCTGGGGACTGGTGCTAAACATCAAGGATTGTTCTCAAGCTGAACAGCAGAATATAGATATATTCACATCAATGCTATATGGTAAAAAGGGAATGTGTTGCCAGTAAGCTGATACAATCCCAGGTGTACACCGTCAGTGATACATGACATTAGCCATTGAACATGACGACAATGCTTGTCCCTGTTTGAAGGAAGCCCAAGGGGTGTGGCTCGTTGCTTCAGAAACCCCTTTTTCTCACTCAACTTCGCTTGTGCCAAAACTAGAAATCGAATCCTCCAGCCTTTTGATGACTCATCGCCGTCTCCTTTCAGACAAGTCCGGCAACAGGGTCCTGTACACAGCCATACGGGCCATACGTGTTTAGTTGTTTGGCTGCTTGGCTGCTTGTTAGTTTGCATGCGTTCACTTTTGGTGCTACGAACATGTGCTGCTTTTTCTGTGGGAGTTCATTTGCTTGAGATGCATGGCTGATAGATGTATATATTCCATAGTGGCGTCTTAAACACACGGAAGTAGCCAATTAATCAACCAGTGGTCGCCCGTGAGTACTTGATAGAATGGGTTCACTGAGTTTTCAGGCCGGAGTCACTGGCACAGGCGCCCAACAGCAACCCAGTTATTATCTTCAATTCGTGTGGCGTTTTAGGATGTGCTGAAGCCTCCAATCTTGCCCCAGTTGCTTGTGATCTGGGGTCTTCTCCAAAGTTATTTCTGGACTATTTTTTAAACAAAACAAGTCAAACCACTTTTTATGAGTCCCTTACATTTTGGCCAAGTAAAGTGAGTCGGTGTTTGCGCCAATCCAAACAACAGATCGCTGGTACTTGACGCTTGTTGGTGGATCAATCGATTAACGATCATCTTATCTTGCTTGACGAGTCTTTTCTTCCCCCCCCTAAAAGCACAACCCCATATGGTTCGCTAGAATAGGGAACCCCTTCCCACTCCATGAAAGTAATGTTGACATATTGGCTTACAGTTGCCACCGACGCCCCAATGTGGGTAAAATGCACCTACATGGAGCCTCAAGGCGTGACGGCATGAAAGTATGAGTGCAAGTTAGCCGGCTTTCAATACAAAAGAGTGTGTACTTCCCTACCCTTTCTCCCACAGACCTGGAAGAAGGTGAACCGTGTTGAGTTCTCTAAAGGGACGTTCTCCCAGCTTTCCACGGAAAAAGTGTAACTTCAGGACCCTCCCATTTGTGTGCGGCTCAAGAAAGTGGTACCAAAATGGCACCTTGGTGAATGGAACCAAAGACCAACACCCGCATAACCCCAGCTCTTTAATTTTGAGCCATACCCAATTTGGGAATCGTGCCGTCTTCTTCGACTTCTGTGCATTCTCTACCACCCCTATGTGGGCATGTGGTCCATGGCACTGGGAGGCGAACCCGGGGCTTACGCGCTTGGAGCAGGAAGAGCTCGCCTTCATGAAGAGTGTCTCGGCCGTTAAAGGATGCACAAGGGTAAAATTATAGTGCTACCTTCCCCATTCTTTCCAGGGATCTTTCTGTCTAGAAAACCTCCGGAAACCCAGGGAAACGGCCGGTTTTTGAAAAGAACGATGGTTGAAAACAATGGGGAATCAACCCTTAGAAGAATGGTTGGGGTTCCTGTGATTTCCCTTCCCCGACCAAACTTCTACCCTCATGGCAGTGGGAGCAACCCGGTGTTGGGTTGTATGCGGGTGTGTCCTAAATCAGGGGTGGCACTTTTGGATGTTCAGTCTCACCTTTGGGCAAGGGGGTCCGTGTCGCAAGCCAGCTCTCTGCGAGAGCTGTTGCAATCAGTCAATTTTAAGCCCTTTGATCTGAAAAGGGAGCCCACTTCATAAGGTTCCAAGTTAGCGGCATATGCTATGCGTGTCCAGAGGGGATAGACTTTGCAGCTGCGTCTCCGTTCGTGCCACCTTTTTGGGTTCCTGTTCTTGCCCGTTCAGATCCCAACATTTAATCTTTGGTTGCTAGGTCTCTTCATCACTAACAAGTTGTTGTTTTTTGAGCGTTTTCCGTGTCTTTTGCGGCCACTGCTCTT